ATATAAATATAAAGTATCATTCATTTCCTCAAACAGCTGGTGGCTGTAACTTCCAGCAAACGTTACTCATACAGAAGACAACAGTGCATTTGTTAGGGACTACTTTCAGCGGTGGATTAATCCACATTTGATGCTTTAATGAGTACAAGGGGGGAAAAGGGGCAGTATGTGTGGGATTGAGTCAAAATAAATAATGCATCAAACTTATAACAACACACCCACCATCACATTTGACTTGTCTGAGCCTTGTTACACACAGTGTGTGGTTTAAATCATATCGAGTTGAGGTGATGTCTGTTTAACCCTCAGTGGTTTGTTTTTATAGTCTGAAGTCAGCTGATCGACCTGCTGCTTGTCACCTGTCGGAGTCCGAGTCGCTGATGCTTTGATATAATGAGCTGCGTCGAAGGGAAGAACGAACCTGCAGTTTACCAACGGGTCGTGTCCAAGAACGCCTCGCCGTACCACTACATGAAAGTTTGTCTGTAAGTCACCATTTATTGTTTCTTTTTGTGTATAAAATCTTTTTATTCAAATTGATTTTGTGGTTTATTCACAATATCTGTACATGTCTGTCAATCACTGCGACACCTGTACGTCCATCCAGCGTGATACTTCTGTGTGTTTTCAGTGTGCTGGAGGATGAGTCTACCAGACTGAGTGCAGTCGAACTGAAGCAGTTCATCATCACAGGTCTGAACAGTCTGTATGGAGAGGTGAGATCATTAATAAAGCCGGGTATTGATGGTTTGATTCCCACACTGTGATCTGCTCTGAGGCTGTGAGGACCTGTGAATGGGAGCCACCAGAAAATGCCAAGATAGTTCTGAAAATACGTAGTAGTAATAGCAGATTAAAACTCAACTGAATTGTCAGACAAAAGAAGAAACTTGATGACATCACAGTGGAATTTAGGACCTAATAAAGGACATTTTCACTACTTCCTAACATTTAAACATTTAGACAAATACACAAGTAATCAGCAGATTATTCAATATACTATATATAATAATAATCACTAATTTAAGCCCTAGTTTATTGGAATTGAAGAGGTCATGTTTTTGTCTCCAAAATTATATAAAATGTAAAAGTAAGGTTTGTTTTGTTTGTTTTGTTTGTTTTGTCATTATTCGTGTTTCAGGTGGGAGCAGCTTTGAACTTTGACCTGTTGAAGTATGATGAAGACACCCTCACTGCTCTTCTGCGTGTTTACAGCAAGTGAGTTCAGCAGCTTCAGGATGGGAAAGAAAAGTTTCACTCCTCCTACACTACATGTTTTTTTAATTTGTATATCTGTGTGTGTGTTTTCAGGGGCTTAGTGAAGCTGTGGAGCTCCCTGACTCTGCTGGGCTCCTACCAGAACCAGGCCTGTGCCTTCAGAGTGCTGCAGGTCAGCAGACTTCATTTCATGTTTTGTATCAGCTGCTGAGGGACCGTTTAACTCTGACTGATGTCTGTGTCTCAGTTCAGAGGCTCACCTCTAAATGTATGACTTGTCACTGCTGGAAGTTTGACCGAGTGTTTGATTTTGAAAGTTCTGCAACGTTCTAAAAACCTCCCGGTTCACACCAATGCAACTAGATGAGACAGTGTATCATCTCTATGCAACAGCTCTCTGTACTTTAATTCTGATTTTCAGCTTTTCATGCTTATTTTGTGGCTGGATATAATTTGTAGCTTCTTAAAATATGAATGAGGATAGTGATAGTGAGATACTGGCTACAGCTGCATTTGTATTAGTGATGAAATGGTGAAAAACAGAAACAAAATGATCGTCAGATGGACTGTATTCGTAATATATATACTACAATAATAGAAGTAACCATTGTCATTTAATCAGTCAATGAGAATGTGTGTGTGTTAGGGAGGCATAAGCACATACAGCGAGTAGCAACAGTGCACCACCGTCCGACACCGGCACACTGTGAGGACGGAAACAGAGGGCTTGGCAGGAAAGGAGCACCTGCTGCGGCAAGCAAACACGCTGTCTTTGGTCATTTTGACTTGACCAGCTGTTTTCACTACAAGCTGATTGGCTGTAGATGACCAGCAGACTATGTACAAACTGTATAAACAAATCTCTCTCTGAGATACTAAAGACCATCCTCCTTTCTCTCATGTCTCTTCAGGTGTCTCCGTATCTCCTTGCACTGACAGGAAACAGTCGGGAGCTTCAGCTGGACTGAAAGAGGAGGACCTTCATTTTCTTCAGGATGAGGTTCATGTGGAGCAGCATCTTTAATAATCCGGGGCTGCGCCTCTCCCCTCCCTCCTGCCGGCTGCTCCACATCGGCCAGAAAGCCTCCCTCACCAAAGCGTTCTCCTCCCAGGATGTGGAGCTGTTCGCCAAGCTGACGGGCGACACCAACCCCCTCCACCTTGACCCGGCCTATGCCAGCACCACCGCCTTCGAGACACCCATCGTCCACGGTGTCCTCATCAACGGCCTGATCTCAGCTGTGCTCGGCACCAAGATGCCTGGCCGTGGCTGTGTCTTCCTGTACCAGGAGATACGCTTCCCGGCACCACTCTACATTGGCGAGGAGGTGCTGGCTGAAGCTGAGGTTCGCAAGATCAAGATGTCGTTCGCCTTCATTGCCGTGACGTGCTCTGTCAAGGACAAGGTGGTGATGGAGGGGGACGTGATGGTGATGATGCCCGAGGACCAGCAGAACAAGGAGTGAGAGGAGGAGGAGATGAGGAGGGCAGTGACACTCTGAAGTGACAGATGTGGTTACAAAATGGCTGCTGCAGCGCTTACACAATGGAATTAGCTTTAAGTTGTGATTTTTATTTTAACGCGTAGTTGAATGCTGACAACAAAAAGTGCGGCTGGACAGAGCAGCTAACAGAGAGACGTGTTAGTCACTCAGAGATTTATTTTTAAGATGTTTAATTTGTCAGATCTGCTCTGTAGTTTGTGTAAAGTGTGGAATAAAAACTCCAAATGATCAGTTTTATTGTTGAATTTATCAATTATCAACCATTCACGTTTTGTCACACTAGAAATTCAGCAGTGATTAATTCAATACTTTTCTCATGTTACCCACTGCTACCTGTGTCTACTGGTCTTTAATTTCACTTCCACTACACTTTCCATGGCCTGGTAAAGTGTAATCAATATTTGTGACCATGAGCCATGAACTGTCTGGAAGCCAGAAACCAGAGAAGTCTCAAACCTGTGATGTCCTCAAGTATAAAGTCTGAAGCTGCTCCACAGACAATGAATGGGAGACTGATTTTGTGGATTCACAGAATGTTTGCTTTCTTTTTTTATACCCAAATGAGCTTTATTTCTATGGTAGAGTCCTCAGTTCTGAAACAGAAGATGTTCCCGTATCCTCAGAACATTCCTCTGAGTGCTCTCAATGTCATCTAGAATATCTTTCACTATTCATTGTTTGTGGAGCAGCTCCAGACTTGATACCCTATGACATCATAAATTTGTGTTTTAGCGCTCTAGTTTTTGGACTTAGGAGAGAGTTGTTCATGTTTACTTATATTTTTGGACAGTCTTAGAACATAGGAATAATGTATGAATTTTGAAAATGGCTGTAGTTCCTCAACAGGTGCTGTCATTGGTGACTTTGTCTCACCTTATTTTTCCCTAATTAAGAAAGTCCAAATCAGCATGTGGACTTTTTTTATCGTCACATTTGCCGCCTTTAAACGTGTTAATTATTTAACACTTTGACCTCTCACACGCTGATAGTAGAAAGGTCACTTCATGTAAACTGTTCAGATCAGACCTTGGAACATAAGATTTTTGGTCATAACCAAATGTAGAATGTTGTATTTCATATCATGAAGAATATGTTAAACTTGCAATTAAACATTTTGCAAGCTTAGGCACTATATATATTTTTTATCTTTGATTTTTTAATAATATTTAATTTAAAAATATGGTGGCTATGTTATGCTTGACAGAAGGTTTTGAAAGAAAAATATTGCAAAAAAAATTGAAAAGGAAAATCTCTAAAAAAATTCTTCCTCGTAGTGAGCAGTCAATTTAGGGTACAGGATGATGTTTTGGTACATTTGCATGACAGGGTGGAACATTAAACTTATGGACACAGATAAATTGGTATTTTAACCAAAATATATATTTGAATTTATTTGCACATTTCCCTTGAAGAGGGAGGCCTTGATATTCTTCAAAACTAAGAAGTCTGAGATTTATGAAACATTTATTGAGAAATTGTCAGATTGGAAATGAGACAATCACTTGGGTTTAACAAAACCATCAAAAAAATTAAAATCACAATTTTATTATTTAAGTATTATTTTATTTTATTTTATTTTACTTAATGCTAATAAGCACACTTGAACTTCTGTCTTCAGCCAGTAAAAAAATATATTGACAGATTTTATACTGTCTTGTTTTCCCCCTTAAATAATCAATAAACCCAAACTTAACAGTTTTCATGGAATGACTCTGGTTTGGTGGATGTGGATGCTCTCAGACCCTGAAACCACCTGTAAGGGAATAAGTGAAAATATTACAGTGTGAAGGTGGAGAACAGTGAGCCTATTATTATTATAAATATTTATTTACAATTCAGTGAAAATTGTTGGTTTCCTCTCTATATGAAGTCTCGCTAGTGTTTTTAATATGGCCAGTGACTTCAAAACAGACCAATTTTGTCAAACTGCTTTAAAGAATGTTTTTAATAATTTTTTTCATTAGTTAATTTTATTTATTTACTGTTTTTTCTCAAGTTTTTTTTATTTCATCATGTGTATTTTCCCTTAAATCCTTTACTCTCATGCAGCGCAGTTCCCCTCCTGACCAGCAGGGGGCTCTGACGCACCCTCACGCGCTTCCCCAGCCTCTAATCATGACGACAAAGCAGCTTGTTGACGTCTGATCAGCGCTTCCTGGTTACAGTAAAGCTAAGCTAGCGGCTAGTTCGCTTCTCCCGGGTTGTTGGTGTTCCTCCTCTGCTCAGCAGGGCTCCGCCTCAGTATTTTCCCGGCGGCTTCAGTGACGCTGACAGACGGACGCTCACATCAGACTTTCACCGTCAATCCTCCGGGATGTCTTTCCTGGAGAAACCGGCCCCCGGCAGGCTGCTGCTGGACGACACCGTGCCTCTGACGGCGGTGATCGAAGCCAGCCAGAACCTGCAGTCCCACACGGTGAGTGTTTACTGGGAATAAACGTCACTTAACAACGTGTAGGCTTAACGGTAAAACAGCCATCCGTTATTCACTGTGGGCGGACAGATGTGTCGGTGCTCGTGGGTTTAAAATTTAATGCTAATTAAATGTTTTAAGGGGGCGTTTAAGTCAATCGCTGCGTCACCAGTTCCATTATCGGACACAGATGTAGAAGATTCATTTTCTCTCGTTTCCAGTGAAATGTTACATCAGCCATACACCACATCTCTCTGCTGAAGTCAATGTAGCTGTATAAACATTACTATCACCCCAATGAGTCTGTTGGCTGTCTCATTTTAAGCATTAGACTCGCGCTGTAACTCCATTATCGGACAGGCAGGCGGCTGACCCTGGCTCTGTGGTGCTGTCACTGATTAAGCAATTTCCTGGAAGCTCTTCAGCACACAGCAAACTGCTGATATAAAGGGATTTAGACTGGAACATTGACACTGGCAGACTTTTCGGCCAAGAGCCGAAACCATGCCTGTAAAGCCCCGAGAACAGACGCTGACCTATGCGGGAATATCAGTAAAGCGAGTTTCCATTTTAAAGCTCGGCCTTTTATTGATTCCTATTATACTGACAAACTAATACGCAGTCTATAACAACATATATGGCCGTTTTGAATTTGTAATGGTCTGTTGTAATGTTCGGCATACATCTTTATCACCAAATACTTGTGCAAAACCTTTATTTTGCATTATTTTCCCCCGTCGACAGCTTTGTACTAACATTGTCTGAAGCCCATGAACCGGTTAGAAGTGTTGAGATTTAATCAAAGGAAATGCTGTTTTCTGTATGTTGTCTATGCTGAACAGAAGATGCAGTACATCTGTATTTATAGTGTTAAAACTATAGTGACAAATAATAAACCAATGCCAAAATCTACGAAAACATTAAAAAGACAGATTTTCAGATGGAGTTTGGCGTTGCAACTCCCTCAGCATTATAACTCGGCGTTAGGGCAAGCCTGTGATCAGCGTTGCTTTGCACTAAAATGTGCACTTTGAACTCGTGCCTGCAATAAGAAACGACGTTAAAAACAATGTGACTGTCAGTGACCAGTTAATCCTGTTATAGGAATAATAAAGAGGGACATGTGTCCACTGTCCGATAATGGACACATGTACGGCGGGTTTGTTGTTGACAGTCCGACTGGAATCAGCTGAGCTAGCCAGTTAGCTTAGCATGCTAATGCAATAATGCAGTTGTAAAACAGAATCATTGCCTCACAGGAGAGACTCATAAACTCATGGATATAATTATTAGATTTATGTATTTATATTAGCCCATCAAGCTAAAGTCTGAAAGTCTGTAAATTTATTGTGTTTGCACAGAGTTACTGGTTTTTGTTGACTTCTAATAGTCCACTGTGAAACTCAACCAAAACAGCAACTTTCCTTTAATTCAGGGCAACATTTTTTGCAGATTTGCTTGATGCTGAATCTGTCAGATGGCTTTCCAGAATTCCTCAACATAAGCAGCTCCACAATTAATGCAATACTGTGACGATACAGGCATCTGCACACTGAAACACTGTGTTTGAGCCTCCAGTAAAGGACTAGTAGTTTCTAGTCACCAATCACAAATCAGTGACCTGAAGTAAGGAAAGTCAAGTTCATCTGCAAATAATGAAATGAATTAAACGTAATGCAGTGCTGATACAGTCAGTGGCAAAATTAATACTTATGTTGAACCTACATTTTGGATTCCAAGGACGGAAAACCCAATTCAATGTCACTCTGAGAATTTGTATTAACATATTTAATAAAAAACACAGGATTAAATAATAACCTTTGTTTAAGTCCAGGCTCATAACATACTTTTATTCATTAGCGTTTGAGTCCCCTTTATGTGGTTTTCCCTGAGGCATGCCTGCCTGTGTGTGTTGTGTCTCTGTATGTGTGAGCTGTGTTCCTGACAGTTATGCCGCCTATCATGTATGCGTTTTAACTTTTTATTCCTTTTGTACAGCACTTTGGTCAATGTGAGTTGTTTTTAAATGTGCTTTATAAATGAATTTGAGTTGGGTTGAGCTGTATATGTTGTGCGGTCCACTCCATCCCTCCATATGGATGACAAAAAGAGATCTAATATTGTTTGTTTTAGTAGGGATCCCTAACCTTAAACTCAGAGTTGTTGCTGATGCCAGCACTCTCATTTTACCAAGCTTTAAATCTGTACAGCTCAGTGTGTGGAGCTCATTGGGATCATTTCCACGTTAAGTAACATGAGGTAACCAGAGATTGCAGTGTCACTAAAAACTGAGTCTGCAGCATGCCGTGACTGAATGAGTGTAGCAGAATCACTAAGTTATATTGACTCAGGCATTGACTGAGAAAACTGTTTTCAATATGGACCACCTCATCTCCCTAATAAGTGTCAGTTCTGATGCCGATACCAATCCAGCGTATTGCTGTGTTGCAGTTGATTTATATTTCTGTTTCCTCAAGCTGAGTCCTGTTGCAGATTAAAGGTCAGCAGCTTTACAGACTCTGGTCGAGTGGAGAGTCATGAGAATGGACAGAAGGGAGGTTTATTTGTACCACACCTTTCAACAGTAAGGCAGTTCAAAGAAACACAAGGCAATATAAAAAGAGTGAATAATGAAGACTCTTTTGACATGACATCAGAAGAGAGGGTGGGTATCATGAATAATAGATGACATATAATACACACATTGCTTCACTGGAAAAAACTTAATGGAAGTTTTAGTCTTTTGACATTTCCAGAAAGACTGATGAAAAATTCTTCAATGACAGATTGTATTGTGTTACAGCAGCTGCTCCTTTTACCATATTTCCTTAAAAAAATTATAAAATGAATCAGTCTTTGTGCAGCACTTTGCACCAAGCACTTTGAACACAACAGGAAGCAGTAATGTCACCACTAAAATAAGATAACAGATTACTCTCTCTGTCGCAGCTGCACATACAAATAAAACTGACACAATAAAAATGGTATCAAACGTTTTCTAAAGATCTGAAAAGCTGGACAGGAAGTGATGTCAGCTCTTCGGTTATTTACATCCTGGCTGTTTGTGAAGCTGCTCAGCTCACATGAGGGAATGCGAGATTACAGCAGAAACCAGAGCTTGTCGGCAGGAATTAGACTGAGAGGATTAGATTAAAGGGAAATTCCATGTTTGTGCCATGCTTACTTGTTTTCAGAATTTTGTTCTTTGTTTTTGTCGGTCATAAAAACATTTTAGTCAGCGGCTTCAGTGTGGAGAATATGTGCGAACATGGTGATATGATCAGATTCTCCACTGAGCAGCGTTATCTGAACCATTTAGTAAGAAATGAAACAGAAACTGAACAAACCTGAAATAAAAACCTGTTTGATGAAGTTTAAACACGGCCTTTCCTCTGGCTCTGACTTTATCAATGAAAACATATGACTTTCTTTTAGAATCATGATCTTGATCTAATGATGTTAAAACATTTTATTGTAAAATCATGACTCTGTCTTGTAATATTACAAGTTTTTTTTTAAATTTATCTAATTATTATCTAATAATATGACCTTTTTTCTCATAAAACTACAAATTAATTTACTTACCATGATTTTTTTATGTATGAAATCAACAACTTACACCTGCAGCATTGTAACTTTCATTTTGAAATTATGACTTTATGTGGCTTTTAATCAAAGCATGCTATTTTGTGTAACATTATGACAGTGTGCGTAATTTTTTTCCTCATTAAACTGAATTTATTTGCATATAATTATGGCCCTTTACCTACACATTAAACCATTTTTTAATCTTAAAAATACTAGTTTACTTGTACTATTTTGGGGCTTTTGTTTCCTTAAAATCACCCCTTTATTTTGATAACAATACAGCTTTATTTTTTCATCATGAAATACCTCAATAATGTCTCACAACAGTGGTTCCCAACTGGTGGGTCATGGTCCAAACATAGGTCGCGGGTCTGCAAGTGACTTGCGAACATAACAAGTTTGTAAAAAACACACTTTATTTTTAAGTACAGTGAATTTCGCCACAGAGCTTTTATTTTGAAGTGCCGTCTCCTGTTGTAGAGTGAGTAAATAACGGACAGCTACTTGACAGAGACAGCAAACTAGCTTAACGACATGGTCAAACGCAAGTATGACGCTTAATGTATTAAACTCGGTGGACCTTGAACTAATGACTAAGGAGAAATCTGGACCCCGGAGCTGGACCAGTTGGGAACCACTGTCTTAAAATATTTTGACTGTATTCTAAAAATGTTAACAGCTGGCTGACTGTTGGACACACTGTGACGGCTGTTTGATTCTTGAAGGATCATTTCCAATTTTATTTTTAGTTCTACCCTTATTTAAATGTATACCATGCAGGAATTGTTGGTCACTGTTTGGTCAGTGTCGCCAGCGAGGTGAAAGTGAAAGCCAACCCCCTGATTTACTCTCATTACCATTATTTGTGTTTTTTGGTGCTGTGTCCATGATTTTAGTAGTTTCCTTGGATGCCTGCTGCTTATGGTCGGGCACTTGGTCGCTGCATGTTGGAGCTACAATTTAGTTTTTGTTTGTTTATTTTATCCGTATTCAAACACAAGTTAGATTTAAATACACACATGCAGTTATGAACTGAACACAGTGTGGAGAATTGATGTGTGAAGTGTGTATAGGTGAGCTCTAGGTAGTGGAGATCAGGTGTGTGGAATGGGGAGCAAACAGTTTTTGACTGTGTTATGGAAGCATGTCGTGTCAGCATGAAGTATTGGTGTGGAAGACTGAATTTGCTGAGTGGAATAATGATTACATGTGGACAATGCTGTTGCCCTTCTATGTTACGGTTAGCATGTGTATTTTGTATTGAGAATAAATGCATCGCCAAATTCAAAGAGATAACGTACACCGGACATTGGTTTGTTCTTAGCCCAGAACACGTGTCTAGAACAAGTTCACCCGCTTGCCCCTCAGTGGCTCGTTTAGAAATTTTGCTTTGTTAAAAAGTCACTGCACTAACTTTTTACAAAGTCCTTGGCCCTTTGCTGCGTGTCATCCCCTCTCTCCTCCACATCCTCAAAGTATGTCCTGTTATAAAAGTAGCTGATGCAGTGTTTTGATGGCTGTTTTTCTCTCTTGTCTCTCAGGAGTACATCATTCGAGTCCAGAGGGGCGTGTCCTCAGAGAATAGCTGGCAGGTAAATGCACCAATTACCAGTTAGAATTTACAACTCTGCAAGTCCAGTTAGTTTGTCTGGTACTGATGAAAATGTCAGATCATCAGACGAACATGGCGACGAACTGCCTAGTCACAGCCATTTTGTCTATAACTGATAGGTGTGTGTGTGTGTGTGTGTGTGTGTGTGTGTGTGTGTTGCAGGTGATTCGGCGCTACAGTGACTTTGATGTTCTCAACAGCAGCCTGATGGTGAGTGTCATGACTTTCAGTGTTTAAAACTGCTCTCACAGATGGACAGCAGGGAAGAGTAACATGGAGGTTTTGGGATTCTGACATGAATTCAAGTTGCTGCTCTGCTGTTTAAGGCTGAAACTACAAACTTTTTACAGACACATCTCAACTTAAAATACAGAGCAGAGTGGGTTTGATAAAGACGACACAGGTGACTACTGTCCATGGGGTGTGACATTTTTAAAAACTCTTCTCCTGAACGTGGTGGACACAACTCACCTGCCTACAAACTGATGGTCTGCCTTGGAAAATGGGCAGCAGTTAAGTTTAGTTGAATTACAGATAATTTGCTGCTACATAAAAGAGCAACCTGGTATCTTACAATGTGTGTCGAGAAGTCTTGTCGTCCATGTTTACACACACAAACCCCTAATGCCACACACCAACTTCTTCTTAGTCAACCTCCTTCCTGTCTGGGAACGCTCAGTGGCGGTTCGTTACGACATGCTGGAGGCTTAACTGTTGTGTCATCAATTTCCCACAAGCCTCGGCTGGTACAGTGAGAGGGCAGTTTGATGATTGTCCCTGTGCTGGTTATGGATTTTAAGGTTGTACTGCACAGTCTGAAAACGCTGCATCACCTCCAGTATCTCAAAAAAGCTGCTGTCTGCACCGCTCCTACTGACGAGATTAAGCTCATGTTGTGAGTGATTTTTAGACATGCTTGCAACGTGGCTCTAGGGATGATAAAGTCGGCTGGTTGGAACACAACTTTCGTTCAGAATGAGATTTCTCAACAGTTATTGGATGCCTTTGGATACTGTGAAATCTTAGTTTTAGTCAGTAGACCATTAGCATGGTGGCTCAATGGTTTGCACACACGTCTACCAACTTTAAGATTGTAGGCTCAAGGCTCCAACAGTAACAAGTATTTCCTGTGTGAAGTTTTGTTATCCAGAACAAGAATAGCACTAATCTTATTTGAAGTTATTTTATCTTGTTTAAAGACTTGCGGTGGCTGGACATCCTGACTCGTTTAAAGATGTCTTATCATGTGAAAATCATTGACTGCACTGGCAGCCAGAATTACTTTGTTGTTCAGGAGGTTTTTACCAGGAGCTGAATTATCTCCAGACGTCTGTTCCTCTCCGAAACAAATGGACCTGGTGATTAAAGCTGGTAAAAACACTGAATAAAGTAGGTTCATGTTACAAATCAGTGTTTCCTTATGTCTCCCTATGTACAGTACAGGCCAAAAGTTTGGACACACCTTCTCATTCAATGCGTTTTCTTTATTTTCATGACTATTTACATTGTAGATTCTCACTGAAGGCATCAGAACTATGAATGAACACATGTGGAGTTATGTACTTAACAAAAAAAGGTGAAATAACTGAAAACATGTTTTATATTCTAGTTTCTTCAAAATAGCCACCCTTTGCTCTGATTACTGCTTTGCACACTCTTGGCATTCTCTCCATGAGCTTCAAGAGGTAGTCACCTGAAATGGTTTTCCAACAGTCTTGAAGGAGTTCCCAGAGGTGTTTAGCACTTGTTGGCCCCTTTGCCTTCACTCTGCGGTCCAGCTCACCCCAAACCATCTGGATTGGGTTCAGGTCCGGTGACTGTGGAGGCCAGGTCATCTGCCGCAGCACTCCATCACTCTCCTTCTTGGTCAAATAGCCCTTACACAGCCTGGAGGTGTGTTTGGGGTCATTGTCCTGTTGAAAAATAAATGATCATCCAACTAAACGCAAACCGGATGGGATGGCATGTCGCTGCAGGATGCTGTGGTAGCCATGCTGGTTCAGTGTGCCTTCAATTTTGAATAAATCCCCAACAGTGTCACCAGCAAAACACCCCCACACCATCACACCTCCTCCTCCATGCTTCACAGTGGGAACCAGGCATGTGGAATCCATCCGTTCACCTTTTCTGCATCTCACAAAGACACGGCGGTTGGAACCAAAGATCTCAAATTTGGACTCATCAGACCAAAGCACAGATTTCCACTGGTCTAATGTCCATTCCTTGTGTTTCTTGGCCCAAACAAATCTCTTCTGCTTGTTGCCTCTCCTTAGCAGTGGTTTCCTAGCAGCTATTTGACCATGAAGGCCTGATTGGCGCAGTCTCCTCTTAACAGTTGTTCTAGAGATGGGTCTGCTGCTAGAACTCTGTGTGGCATTCATCTGGTCTCTGATCTGAGCTGCTGTTAACTTGCGATTTCTGAGGCTGGTGACTCGAATGAACTTATCCTCAGAAGCAGAGGTGACTCTTGGTCTTCCTTTCCTGGGTCGGTCCTCATGTGTGCCAGTTTCGTTGTAGCGCTTGATGGTTTTTGCGACTCCACTTGGGGACACATTTAAAGTTTTTGCAATTTTCCGGACTGACTGACCTTCATTTCTTAAAGTAATGATGGCCACTCGTTTTTCTTTAGTTAGCTGATTGGTTCTTGCCATAATATGAATTTTAACAGTTGTCCAATAGGGCTGTCGGCTGTGTATTAACCTGACTTCTGCACAACACAACTGATGGTCCCAACCCCATTGATAAAGCAAGAAATTCCACTAATTAACCCTGATAAGGCACACCTGTGAAGTGGAAACCATTTCAGGTGACTACCTCTTGAAGCTCATGGAGAGAATGCCAAGAGTGTGCAAAGCAGTAATCAGAGCAAAGGGTGGCTATTTTGAAGAAACTAGAATATAAAACATGTTTTCAGTTATTTCACCTTTTTTTGTTAAGTACATAACTCCACATGTGTTCATTCATAGTTCTGATGCCTTCAGTGAGAATCTACAATGTAAATAGTCATGAAAATAAAGAAAACGCATTGAATGAGAAGGTGTGTCCAAACTTTTGGCCTGTACTGTAGATAAACAACTAATTTTAAGGTAATCAAAACACAAATATTCTTTTTTTCAGGTGATTATACACTAAAGAAAACATATTCATTATGTAATAGTCCATTTCCGCCATTATATCCCCTTAAATTCTACACACTGGACCTTTAAGCTTTTAAAGTATATTATTGCATTGTGCATGTTGTTTTCTGAATTGATGAGTATAATCAGTTCGGATCCTCTTAGTGTCACATTGTGCCGTATAGATCTCTAGTAAATCTATAATCACTGAAACTATATTATAGCAGCCTGGAGCGGATCGTCCTGGTTGTGACTCGTCTTATGTCCAGGTCACATCATTCCTGGATAACAGGAAGCTAGCAGTTTTTCTGCTGAGGTTTTGCCGGCTCATTTCCTTCTTGGGGTCTCCCACTGACCCCGACCTCCCGTCAGCTCCTGATCTTCAGTCAACATACAGCAGAACTGTCGGAAACTTGTTGTTAGTCTCTCTCCCTTTTTGTAAAGACATTGCTGAAACACAGAAAATGACAACAGGGGGTAAAAATATACATTCACTGGTGATCAAAATGATCTCCATCTTTGTCTCTCTCCAGGTATGTGGCATCAGTCTCCCTCTTCCTCCAAAGAAGCTAATAGGTAACATGGACAGGGAGTTTATAGCAGAGAGGCAGAGAGGATTGCAGGCCTATCTGGACTCTATTACCCAGCATCCCCTGATTTCCAGCTCCCTGACTGTCAAGAAATTCCTGGACCCCAACAACTACTCTGCCAACTACACAGGTGTGTTCCCTCGTCTCCACTGAGAGACTCTTTACAGTTGTTCTTCAAAGGTGGAAATTAACATCAAATACTGTACGTGTATATAATTTTTAGGTACTTCATACTTCCTCACTACAGATATTATTGCTCTTTTAACCCAACTACATTCACCTGAATTTAATCATTGTTACTGTTTTCAGATTCAGATTACATGCAAAAGATATGATTAGTTTATAAGAACTGTTAATTCACTGTTATTGATTCACCAGAAGTGTTTAAAGGGACCGTTCTAGAAGTATTGTCTGTTTGATTGAGTCTGTTTTATTGATCCATGAATCAATACATTAAGAATAAAAACAATAGTTTAAAGGAGCTCTAAATGATATTTAGAACATATCCATGATTCAAATGTTGTCTTACACCACCTCCATGTTGTTACGGCTCTCAACCTGTTGGTGGCTGAACCGCCGGCTAGCAGCTAACAGTGCTAACAGCGCTATCAGTGGCGACAGAGCTGACTGTTTGACCCCAGAGGGAAACGGAGAAGGAATGCTACACTTCAGGGACGACCCATCCAGATATCAGGGGTGACAGCCATGAAAACACAGTGGAGAGTAATGGCGATTAGCTAGGCAGTGGGACACAAGCATGGGCTCACCTGCACAAACATGCATGTGCAGCCAGACCGTCTACCACAGTTACTAACAGAGAAGCTCAGATTACAACACACACAGAGGGAGAGTGAATTCCTTCTCTGCTCAGGACGCCATTACTCCACTATATCTTTACACAGCATTTAATGCTATATTAATGCTCAGAATATTGTAAAGATCTCCTATGATATGTGTTGTATCTGAAAATATCTGACTATCGTGTCCCATAGTGGTCGTTTCAAAAGGGACACCCCAACAGACATCACATGATGACCATGATAGCTGTATGTTTATGAACATGGTATTATATTAAGAGATTTTGTTGGGCTAACATGGACGTGAATAAGACTCTTTTTTTTTCTGTGTGTGCGTGTGTGTGTGTGTGTGTGTGTGTGTGTGTGTTACAGAGATCGCTCTGCAGCAGGTCTCCATGTTCTTCAGGTCGGACCTGAAGTGGGAAGTCCTGGAGCCTCTCAAAGACATCGGTAAGACTCTGAACCTGACTGAGAACTGCAAATTTTTTAACATGAGAACTGAATGCAGTGCTAATGCTAACCATTAGCAATAATGTGAACATGTTGATAATTTCTTCTGCTTTGTTGTATTCATTCTGTATGCTCATTAATAGGGCTGCAACTAAGGATTATTTATGTTATATATTAATCTGCCAGTAATCTTCTCGATTGATCGAGTGGTCCATGAACTTGTTGAAAATACCGAAAAATGCCTGTCACATTTTCCTAAAGCCCAAAATGATTTCATCAAAGTGTTTGTTTTGTCCAACCAGCAGTTCAAAACCCCCAAAGTATTCAGTTTACTTTGACAGAAGAAAAAAAGCTGGAATCAGGGAATGATTAATCATCGAAATAAAATATTTTTCTTTTTTAACGGCCTGATTGTTTCACCTCTACTCGTTATATTCATCACATATTTATTATGCCAACATCTGTAATAGTCTCTTTTCAAACACACAATTTGCGGTCAGGTTACACATTTAAAAGAAACCCAATTGTTCTCTTTACAGGAGAGGAGTTGTTTTAAATGACTGATGACTGTTTCACTCACTCTTAATGTGATCTCAGCCTGAGTATTGATTAATAATCAAATGATTTGAAGGCATTTAAACACAATGAAGTGATTGATGACCACTGTTATCAAATCTCCATTGAAGATGAACTCGGAGACTGTGTGTTGTTGTGAAACCTGTGTGCTGTTGTTATTTATCATCACAGAGCCAATGCGATTATCTGAAGAAAGAAAAGAAAGGAAAGAAAATAAGAGTTGAAATAACCTGATAGAGAAGAGTCACAGTAAACAAAAAGTAAACCTTTAACTTTAAAGTAAGACTGCGTCACTTATGTTGAACAGCGGCCGCTGTGGCTACAAGTAAACATTTTGAAATAAAGCCAAATACTAAAATTCAGCTTAAACTAGTTACTGTTCTGTAACAGCAACACAAGCAGACAAGAGTTGTAAAGTCAGCAAACCGAGTCAGTTATGTCCGGTATACAGTCCGTTACCATAAATGACTAGTCATAACAGTCCAACTAAGGCTGTAGCTGCAAAACCACTGAATGTATTGAACTTAGCAACAGATTGTTTTATTACTTGTGAGAGGAAGTATTTCTTCTTCACTCAAAAGGTACATCGTGTTGCTTTGAGGCAAAATAATGCTGTATATTTAGATAGATGTTACATGCTTCCAATAAGAATTAATGTTTAATTCTTACTGTTGGAGTTACAAATGAAGTGACTTGCTGTTTGCTTTTCAGGCTGGAGGATCAGGAAGAAATACTTCTTAATCAAAAACAAAGAGCAGCCCAAAGAGAGGTATCTGCTGAGCTGGGTGAGTACACTTAGTTCTGCTTGTTGGCTTCAAATATCAGAGATCAAATAAAAACAACAGGTCGAGAAAAATATTCACGAGGAGTGCAGTTTTCAAACCAAATATATATTAAATTACTAGTATATCAAGTCAGAAATGTACGGCAAGTGTGCAATGTAAGACGTTTTGATCTTGGACTTTAAATAGTGTTTTAAGATCATCTAAGTCAGTGGTTCCCAACTGGTGGGTCGAGGTCCAGAAGTGGGTTGCGGGACGATTTTGAACGGACCACAAGTGACTCACAAACATGTCAAGTTTGTAAAAAAATACTTTATTTTTAAGTCCAGAGAATTTCCAGCACAGAGCTTTTATTTTGAAGTGCCGTTTCCTGCTGTAGAGTGAGTGACTAACCGACAGCTACTTGACAGAGACGGTAAACTAGCTCAACGACATGGCCAAACGCAGTTATGATGCTGAATGTATAAAACTGTGGGACCTCGATCTAACTACTAAGGAGAAACCTGGACCCTGTGGCTGGACCAGTTGGGAACCACTGATCTAAGTTATGGTCAAAATGTCCATGATGTTCCAAACGTGCATTCTGTGCATGTGTGAGTTGTAATCAATTTTGTTAATATTGATAATCTTTATTGTATTTTGAACCAAAATGTGCTGCCTTGTTTCTGAAGGAATGTAAAGTCCCATCTCCTATCTGATTAAATCAATCAAGCCAGTCAGTCAGTCAATCAATCATTTCTTTGTCTCATGAAGTTACACAAGCTACAACTCCAGTGAAATGTGATCCAATCAGCCTCTTTAACTTGTGCACTGTGATTTAGTTTTTTTTTTTTTTTTTTTTAATTTAAATTTTTTTTTTATGTCGTCTTACATTGTTGGCTGCTGCTTTATAATTGTCCATCCATATATAATCCATCGTTTCTGGTTGTGGAATAATTTAACTGGGGTTTTAAAGTCCTCATTAAGTTAATGATTCATCAATGTAGTAAAATGAAGTATTTTGTAGATATAAACTTGAAGTGCATTTCACATGTCAGCAGCAGGAAGTTATTTTATGCAGCAGTGACTAAGTTCAGAAAACAACACAAACAACAACACATGGAAAAGTTTAACTCCAATTTCTTACTCATCTTTCTCTTAGAGGAGAGAGACATTTAGAAAGAAAGAAAGAAACATTTTCCTCTTAAATTTTTTTCTGACAGTATTCAATTGTTTCCAGGAATGTATCCCACACTGAGTACTTTCCCAAATTCCAGAACAGATTCAAGTTAATTTAAATTCAATCAGATGTAATTGCCAGATGTGAAAGTATTGTTCCATCAGAAGCGACGGATGTGGACAGAGAAATAAAGTCTGTAAACACTCTGATTAAAACCTCAATCATATTTCTGTTCAGCTGACTAAAAGCAGTGTTCTTGGTCTTTTCTTATTTGTGTTTGTTGAATTGAAAACAGATTTAAACGAATTCCGTCAGAGCTTGAAATGCACTTCATTTATTAAACAGGATTAAACCTGATTTATTGAAGGAAAAGTACATGACTTAAATTACGTTTGTGTAACTCAAGTTTTTCAGAAGGAAATCTGACGAGAAAATTCACTTTATTAGAATAAGTGCTGAAATCCAAAATAATTAATAATCTGTGTGTGTGTGTCTGTGGGTGTTGTAGGTGGACCTGGGGCCTGATAAGTTCCTGTCGGACAAAGACCTGCAGTCAGCCATGAAGCTGCTAACCAGCCTCTCTGTACGTACACAGTGTGTGTGTCTGCATGTGTAGTTATCACTGCCTTACACAGCCAACACAGTAACTACAACTTGGTTCAAACATGGAGATCAGATTCTGACTGTCTGTCATCTATTTTAACATGATGCAACATTATTATGTCATAAAACACAATAATATCTGGTAAAAACAGTGTGTGAAACAGAAAGGATCCAAACTACAGTCACAATACTCTAGTTTGTTAATCCATGGACTGTTGACCTAGTCACTCATTACTCTCCCACTGCACAGAGACAGCTAAAGCCAACATGTCACCTGCAGGTGGTAAGATAGCTACAGCTGAACATAGCTTTGTCCTTCCAGCTGTATTTCCAACTAAGAAACATTGCTAAAAGTCCATCATTTCTCACAATGACTTGAGGACTGTAACCACTGCATTAATCTTCTCAAGGCCTGACTATTGCAACTCTCTCTACCTGGGTGTCGACCAGTCATCTTTGTCTCACCTGGTGCAGAACGCTGCAGCGAGACTCTCTGCATCCCTGCACTGGCTACCTATTAAATACAGGATTGATTTTAAGGTTATTTTATTTGTTTTTAAAGCCACACATGGGCTGGCAGTGGCATCCCAGTATATTGCTGAACTTCTCTGTCCCTATTCCAACTCCTGACCTCTTAGATTCTCAGAACAAGGTCTTATAACTGATCGAGGCTGGTGGGTAAGAGAGATCATGCCTTTGTGGTAGCTGCAACAAAGCTCTGGAATAGGCTTTAACTCTCAGTTAAATGCTCCCCCTTAATTGGGGCTGCTAAGACAAATCCTAAAACGTACATGTTTTCAATGGCCTTTGGTTGTTTATAGTGGTTTTAATATGTAAGTATTTTATCATCTTTTTTTACGTATGTAATTCTTCTTACCGGTATTATACTGCTTTATATTTGTGTATTATTCTTTTAAAGTAAACTGCGGTTGTTTTTAAAATGTGCTGTATAAATCAACTTGATTTGTCCAAAACTAAATACACAGTTTTTTCCCCGGGTTATTATCTGTAATTGATTAAAAATAAATTTTGAGGGCCGTTGGTGGCTTAGTGGTAGAGCAGGCGCCCCATGTACGAGGCTGTTGCCGCAGTGGCCCGAGTTCGACTCCAGCCTGTGGCCCTTTGCTGCATGTCTCTCCCTCTCTCTCTCCCCCCTTCACACTTCACTATCCTATCAATTAAAGGCAAAAAATGCCCATAAAAAATATCTTTAAAAAATAAATAAATAAATAAATAAATTTTGATTGATATTTGATGGTCATTCGGGTAGTTAGTTCTATGTACATAGTTCCAGATTACCAAATGACGCAGTAGCCAAATCCAGTCATGATTCACAAAAAAAAAACAACTGCTGGAGCTATTACTGTAATCTCAGCTCTTTGGTCTCGTGGAATTCATCGGATTTGTTGCGATTAAGATACTTTGAAATTACATGTTTAAATCTCTTAATTTATACTGTTTTTATTTCAATATAAATATTAATAGAAGACAGACTAATACCTACTATAATTATGTAAATAATTAAACTCTTCCTCCTTCTCTTCCTCCTCCTGCAGACTCCATATCTGTGTCCGCTGTTGTTCTCCAGCACCAGTGAGTCCTCAGCTCTGCTCATCCGGCCATTCAGTGAGAGAGGCTCTCTAAGGGACCACATCTGTAAGGTACGCTGTGCGTCGGTGGCATAGAAGCGTCACGCTTCAACGGAAGTGCTTACCGGTTGGCTGATGGTCCAGATTTTGAGATATTCGTGTCTTAGATTTACATTTACAGGTGAACGGAAATAATTTGTGCTGCTTGCATCATTGAAATAGTGCATTTTCCCAGAAACAGTGTCTGGATGAACCACAAAACTCATTGAAACTACTTCTTCAGCAGTGGTGGAGGAGTATTCAGATCTTTTGCATGAGTAAAAGTGGCAATATTACAGAGTAAAAGTACTCCATTACAAGTCCTGCACTCAAAACACTACTGAAGTAAAAATATAAAAGTATTAGCATCAAAATATACTTAAAGTACCAAAAGTAAAAGTGCGCATTATGCAGAATAATGTATACTGTACTATTAGATAAGAAATATTAATGTGTTAATCACTTAGATGTTGCAGCTGGTGAGGGTGGAGCTCATTTAAATTAGTTTATACGCTGCTGGGTAGCTTAATTCATCATAACACATCATCATTTATTGGTCGATTTGAAGTTTGTGTGAATAATCTGAATCCACAAAGTACCACATAACAAATGTCAAATAAATGTAGTGGAGTAAAAAGTACAATATGTGCCACCAAAATATAGTTTTGTTCCATATTATTGAAATAATCAAATTAAGTGCCTCAAAACTGTACTTGAGTAAATGTAGTTAGTTACATCCTGCCACTCATTTTGGGTAGAAAGTAGTTCCTATAACAACTGTTGACTGTCTCCTCCAGGTGAAGCCCAGAGAGAGTTACCTGAAGAAGTACTGTAACCCTAAGAAGAGTCAGGGTCTCGAACTGCAGCACATCAAACTGTACGGCCGTCAGATCCTGGAGGTGTGTATGCACACTCACACACACACATACACACAGACACAGACACAGGAAACATATGCAAATATCTAAACCACACACACCACCACCAAGTGTTATTGTCACTTCAGAAGTCTGAGTGTTTGTGTCTGTGTGTGTTCAGGGCCTGAAGCTCCTCCATGATGGCGGTATGTTTTTCGGTCACCTGCACACGTCCAATGTAATTGTGGATGAGGGTGTGTGTCGACTGATGGACGTAGAGAACGGCATGCTGGGAGTTCCGTCAGCGCTGCGACCCGCCTTCACTCAACTCAGGAAGATCAATGTATGTAAACAAGCACTAAATTAAACCAGAATATACGGGGTGATTTTTGTGTGCTGTCTGTCTTTCTTTTGCTTTCCTTGTTTGTTTGTTTATTTTTTATTTATTTTATGTTCTATTTGCGTCCGCTATCTTAAATAACTAGATTAGATGAATGTGTGGAATTAACACATAGTATTTGCTTTCTTCAGCCAGAGTAATGAGAGCAGCAGTTTTGCCTGTGTAGGCTCACTTACTGCATGTCTACACAGTTGGCCCCAGGGCCAGACGTGCCTGTCCTAAAGCTGAGAAAAAAAAGTTGTAAAAATATTTTTGAATAAATAAGTCTGCTGCTGTGAACAACATCTTTAAAAATCCTTCAAATTCTATGTGTGAAAAGTCATCCTGTAATTGTACTAACATACTTTGTTATTGACAGTTTATGATACATGTACATGAGCCAGTTTGTTTAAGTACTGTGTGTGTGTGTGTGTGTGTGTGTGTGTGTGTGTGTGTGTGTGTGTGTTTGTGTATCTGCAGACCACAGAGAGCATCGACGTGTTCTGTTTTGGACATTTACTGTACGAGATGACGTACGGCCGACCGCCAGACAGCGTCCCCGTCGATCAATACCCCACTGTCCCCTACACCGCTGTAGGTCAGTATAGTAATACACACGCTCACACACACACACACACACACACACACACACACACATACAGATTAATGTGAACATACACAGATGCTGTCATGGGTCTTTATTTGGAACATCCTCAAAGACAGTAGGAGGGTCGTCACTTGTGGAAATAAAATATCAGGTTTACTGAAATGTCTCAAAGTGTGTGTATTATTCCCACTGACTGTGCTGTGTTGACTTGTTGTGTGTGTTTGTGTGTGTTCAGTGTCAGTGCTGCAGTCCATCCTGTCCACAGAAGCCTGTAAGAGCGGGATGCCAACAGTGTCGGCGCTCATGCAGACACCGTGAGTTCACCTGTTGTCAGTCTGTGTCCTGTTGTTTTCAGTGAGGTTGATTGATTTGAAGACCACACACACATTAAGGCCCAGTCCCAATTCTCCCCCTTGGCCCTACGCTTAGTTTTGCAGTGCCCTCCACTGAGGAGTGGCCCTTCATAACGCAGCCACAGAGGTAGGGTATGAAATCTTAACCAAGTAAATGGGACACCACTCATTACAACATCAGTAGCTGAAAACGGCACATACATAAGTTAGTTGTCAGCTAAAAGTGATGAATAAACAGTTGAAACAGTTAGCTAAAAATAATTAATAAACGTTGAAATTTAAAGGCTGCATATAAAGATGGACGATCTGACAGAAGTGAAGCTAAAATATCCCTGATACGGTGGCAGCCATGTTGCTCTGGTGACAGAGTCTGCGCAGTACCGATCTCTGCTATATCAAGTTTCCTGCCCATACACCTGTCAGACCAATCATGAGCTACAAACTTAAATGAAAAACGAACACTCGAACAAACAGCAGCGTGAAAAATCTACCTGAAACCATCTTTGGGGAAAATGTATTTGGATGACATTCTATGGATGAAAAAAATTGCTAAAAGTAATGGATCGACAGCTGAAACATCTGACAGGTCTGTTAACACAGTAGCATTTTTCCGTAAAGCTTTTTATAACAATCAAAATAAATATTCCCTTGCTTCTACTTTAAGATTTTGCACCATTATTATTATAAAGATAAACTTAATATTTATGGGCACCTGTAGCAGCCATGTTGCTTGTTGACGTTTAGACTACTGCAGATCACAGAGCATTGTGACCAGGACCACTTTGCCTTTAAGTGCTGTCCTCTTGGATTTTTTATGTTATGACACTCCTGTGAGTTGTTGTGCTTTTAAAATTTCAAATAAAAATCAAATAAAAAATACCCAACGCAGTAGAACTTAAAATAGGGCCAAGGGGTGAAGTGGGATTGGGCCTGAGCCGGCTAAGTCTGAAAATGCACCTTTTTTTATTCATTTTAGTCCTAATTCTACACAAAAACTCAACTTATACTCATCGTATTTGCGGAAAATTTGTTAGCTGTCCATATTACAGTGAACATTATAGACTGGGACCCAGATCAGTTGATTGTAAGTGTAAAAACAGACTAATGTAAGTGGTTTACTGTTGAAAAAAATGTCAGTATCATGCATCCATACAAGAGCAGACATTTGCCAGGTTTATGTACATGAGAAAAGATTCCCTTTAGTACAAATTAGCATCTGGAATATGAAATAGGACATGCTCGGGAACCAGAGCATCATCTTTTTGTAGCTGATGAGTCACAGTTTGTGTTTTGCAGGCTGTTCAGTGACGTCCTGCTCCAGCACTCAGAAAAACTCCAGATCAAGGTGAGGGGCTCAGTTTGATTTTTACTTCTCAGAGTTTGTACATGCGTGTACAAGGTTTGCCCCAGAATATTAACTCTAATAGAAAAAACTAAACATGAAGTAAATATCTAAACCTCCCTTTGCTCCCGCAGGTTCCCAGCAGGCTAAAAGAGGCACTGAAGACGGCGAAGGAGAGTCTGGAGAAGAGGCTGCAGGAGGAGCAGAGAGTGGTAGGTCACTAAATGTCTCATTAAACATTTTTGATTTATATCACTGAGCAGCTCCACTGGAGACATTTGGGAGGTCGTGACCCCTCTTCAAGGCTCCATCAACAAAGTTCCTCTAAGTCTCCATATTTCAAATCAGTGACTCTCTAGATAAGGTGGACACAGTACTTGCTGCGGAAAGGAATTTATTCTGGCTCTTGCAACATTAAAGACTGTGGAAAAACCTTGCAACATAATTTCCCACAACCTTTTCAGGTTGAAAACACAGAAACTCAGTAAACTGACTCCAGTATCAGACAGCAGTGAAACCACAAACTTTACCGCGAGACATACGAAGTGAATGCAGTTTGACTCTCAGAAGCCACATTCATATCTTCTACTGTCTGATGAAACGTCAAACTATGTACTGGTTTAACACGTCCTGGAATCAAAAGCAGCATGCAGGAATCTCCTTTTCTATTTGTTTTTAATTGCATATTACATTCAGTGATATTTTATCTGCTGACTTTTCTGGGTGACATGTCCTGGAATGAAAGCATCTTGACTCTAGTCTTTAGCGGTGACACAAGCACTTTTCAGTGCAGGGCTTATGAAAAGGTCACATAATGCAGCTTGCAGCTGAATATGATGTTTTGTGTTTATAAGGAGGATGATGTCATCATCATCGGCCCCAAATCTCTTATCAAATCCACCCATAACTTCTCCCTCTCCATCAACGGTGGCACTGTGCTCTCCTCCCCCCACATCCATAACCTTAGTGTCATCTTTGATCAAACCCTCTCCTTTGACCAACACATCATACACATCGCCAAAACAGCCTTGTTCCACTTCAGGAACTTCGCCCGCCTCTGTCCATCACTCTCCTTTTCAGCTGCACAGACTCTCATCCACGTATTCATCACTTCTAGACTGAGACAGTCTCCTCTGCAGTTTGTCAGCCATAACACTCAAGAAACTACAGTATATCCAGAACTCAGCTGCTCAACTTCTCACACACTCCCGCCCCCGTGAGCACATCACCCCCCCTCCTTCATAACCTTCACTGACTCCCTATCCCCCAGAATATTCACTTAAAACTCCTCATCATCACTCTCAAAGTTCTCCACAACCTTATTATTATTATTAATAATGTGTATTAATGTTTGTGTGAAGCTCCACCAGCACAGGAGGCTGACCAGAGCTCAGTCTCACCACGGCTCAGAGGAGGAGAGGAAGAGGAGGAAGATTCTGGCGAGGAAGGTAGGCGACAGAGTCTCACACGCAACAGTACAAAGAACCCTAATGAGATCTGAACATCTACATGAACAGTGCCGCTGTGGCTACAACTGGTGGAATATGTTGTTGTTTTGTGTTTGTTTAGAAACCTACAGGAATAGTTTCAACTGATTAAATGTTTTTATGCACATGTCTATTTGGTGTTAGTTCAACGGAGGGTAGCTTTTAAGGGCAGGCGGATTTCAATTCTACAAATAAACAACAAGAGGTACATTTTGTGTAATGTTCGCTACAGTGGAGTTATAATGGAGACGTTTTTGTGTTTGCAGAAGTCCAGGCAGTCGGCTTATGAGAATGAAGAAGACGTCTCTGTAAGAAACAACAACAACTCTGGTAGGTCACTGCTCTTACTGCCCTTGACCAGTACAGATGTTGCATTCATGTGCTCCTTGGATGGTCCTATTTCATCAGTTGCTTTACCTGACCTATTCTGATAAATAACTTCTCTAACTAACCTGGGTCACTCTATGTTCTTCTCCTCTTTCTTTATTATGCATTTAAACAGGATGTCAGATTATGGATGTGAGATCATGATCTCATTTGACCTCAGTACAACATATTATCACACATTCACATTTAGATAACGCATTTTATCAACTCTGGACAACAATCTCACACACACACACACACACACACAAATAGCATCACTATAGTTAAAACAGTTGCAAGTGTTACTGAAGGTTAGAACCAAGAGAGCTTTTAAGTTACTTCGTCGAATGAGAGTTTCTAAGTTCAAACGGTGTTGCAGTTGTGGGTAACAAAAAACAGCCTAACACCATATTACAAATTACATGTGAGCAAAAAATAGACATGCAATATGTGAATTAAACCATCAACCGAACATTTACTTATAACTGCCATATTTCTGCGTATATGACGCCAACTCTGCCACTCATGTACCAACATTTCCACAGACTTTCCTAGTTGTTCTGACTTGAGGGGTTTGTTCACATGAATTTTAAAAGTCAGGAACTCATTTTTTCGATTATTCGAACATCACATGAACGCAGGGTTAACCTTGTCATTTAGTTAGTGAGTTAGCCAGCTAGCTAGTCTTCTGTCCTTACAAATTAGCTAAAGCTAACTGGCTAAAGCTAGTTAGCCACCATTGTCTTATTGGCTGGTGAGTGAAACAAATCTAGCAGGCACTTTCATATTTACCGGCATTTGTCTGGTGCTGATTTCCAACCCTGACTTCAGCTAATTGACCAGGTAGGAAGTGTGTTCATCACTAAATAGTTACTCCATAAATAGTTAGTTAGTTTTTTTGACTGGTCGTTGGACACCTTTTTGGCCAATGAGATGGTTAGTTAGCTGAGTAAAGAGATACACAGGCCAAGGTTTTAGGTAGCTTGTTATCAGCCTGTTAATACAGTTGCTGATGGTGACTAATGTGTCTGTTATTCTGTCTGTGTTCAGGTTCTGGAGCCAGCTCCCCTCCCACATGCCCCTCCTCCCCCACCCCCCCATCCACCACAGGTAGGCCTCACTGTCTGTCTGTATGTCTGTCAGTCTGTCTGTCTTCTCATCTGTCTGTCTTTCTGTCTGGGAAAGGACAGACATTACAGCACCCCCTTGTGATGAGACTTTGCTGTGTTGCGTGGTCTCAGGCTGCTCAGAACAATAACAGCATCTGTATCATTAACTGAATTTCTGCCCTCGAGTTTCATCTAAAATGTGCATGTGTGATTATAAAGACTAATTAATTGACTTGACCTGTTTGTCTCTGTCTCTTCACCTCTTCTCTCATCATGTGATTACCTGGTTATCAGACAGGTATCTGTCTCTGCTGTAACAGTGTGTCTTATTCACTCTGTTGTGTCCTAAGTTAGCTGAAAGCAGGACGGGAAACTCAGATGTTTGATTTTATATTTTAAAGTGTGAGTCTGCTGAGATTCCTATTTTTTCTTACTGACAACAGATTCCATGAAAAGACCAAAACCAACAATGTGTTGGTCCAGCTCTCAATTTTTTGACTTCCCTAATCTGTCAGTGCCATGCCGCCTTAAAGCTCAATTCAGACCAAAGATTCACAAGGAGACAAAATAATTTTACAACGTTGCCGAGAAAAGTTGTAGCAGTGTGAGCTGGCCAGTCTGAGCTCGACTCAAGCTGGCTGGTGGTGTCACCTACAACTCTGCTGGTTAAATCGCTGTCGGCTGGTTTTAGAACATGAAGCACGTCACCTGTTTGAACTGCCAGTTGGCTTGTAGTGGAGTCAAGTCAAGTCAAAATGACCGCAGATGAACGCCATGTTAGCTTGCTGCTGCTCCATCCCCAATGAGCCCTCTGTTTCAGTTCTCACGGTGTGCTAGTATCGGTTAGTGGGCCGCTGTATGTGCTCATGCCCCCACACATACACATTCTCATTGACTGATTAATTGGCGCTGCTTACTTCTATTATTGTAGCGTATTTATTATGAATATAGTCCATCTGATGCTCATTTTGTTTCTGATTTTTGCCATCTAATGGTAGTGAGAGCACAATAAACTAATCCATTAAATAACAAAATGGCTCTCTGCCAAGTCAGTCTGCAGCTGATCCCAACACAAAAATGGACAAGGTCCAAAACCTGATCACATTTCATGGTTGAAACTTGTTTATTTATGATTAATAATGTTTGTAGTTTGATATGACAACAAATTTGAGCAACAAGCTGAGATGCTGTTAATTAGGAAGTACTCATTTGGGGACATTGGGACTTTATTATTGTTGACAGTATTTTGTTTTTTATACTTATCAGGTCCTACTGATCCCAAATAGTGAGGAGAAATTAAAAATGCATGCTGAACAAAAGTTGGGGTCTCAGGTTGAAATACACAGATTTATGCTAGTAGTAAAACAGTAAATAAAAGTATATAAAAGGTAAAGTGAAAGTGTCATATTCCAATAAGAGGATGTTTTTTGGGGACTAGTTTTAGCAGTGGATTAATACACATTGGTTGCTTTCGTGAGTATTTCCAGCAGCAGGTGTGTGTGCTGCTCACTGATGTGTGTTTGAGCTCTGTGGCAGAGAAATACATATTTTACTGGTTATTGTTGATTCTTTATTTGTTTTGGTCTTTTTCATCTGACTTATCGTCAGTAAGAAAAATGCAGAATATCAGCAGACTCGACCTTTACGTTGTTACAACATGCAAACACCAATGTGGCATCAGTTTCCTACCCTGGTATTAGTGTCTCCTCTCCTTATCTCCTCTCTCCTCCTCTCCTCTTTGTCCCGGTGACACTGTGTTAATGCTGATTGGTCCACTGAACAGATAACTGTCATCTCCCTCTCTCTCTTCTTCCTGTGCTGTCTCCACCATAGAGCATGCTCCATTCTGACCGTGTCGTTGGGTAAAGTAAAAGATTTATAATGATGATAATGATGATGATGATAATGAAGGTCACTGGTGGTTTTTAAAGCTGTCGTACACCTTGGCTTCCCGGCAAGCTCCCGGTCACAGAGCTCTGCCTCAGGCTTATCATCTCAAGTGATTTAAAAAACCCTTTAAATTGAGAGAAATTGAATTTAAAAATGGATTAAGTGGGATCATCTGTGTGGATCCAGTGCTGACAGCAGCACAGGTTGAGATAAGAGCTTTCTGTAAACTAACATGTTCAGCTGTTAGCTTCAAAGCTCGTTCTTTAGGTCTGGAGAAGGGTTGAAACTTGTGTCGGTAGGTTTTGCTGTCAGTGATATGAACACAAAATGTTCACAATATGGCCTCACCAGTACTGGATTTTTGTGGCTAATACTAATTGTGATATTTGGAAAATTTGAAAAATCTGATAGCAATATTCAATAGCGTTTATTTATTTGTTTGTTTATTTATTTATTTATTTATCTATTACGTAAATACATGTCATAAACATAAAAACCTGATACAGATCCCTTAAATTTTTTTTATTTCTTTGTTTTGTTGTTTTGTATTTTGTGTTACAAGATACTGAGTGGGAGATTTCAGAGTTTAAAAATTAACCTTAAGTGCTTTCTGGTTAGACAGACTATGTAACGGTTTCACTTCTACTCCCTCATTCAACCAAATTAACCATAGACTGTATATAAAGATGGATGACGCTTCTCCATTTCCTCCCACTGTATAAAAATGAAGCCAAAATATCCCGGACACAGGCGCTGCCATCTTGGGCTGGTGACATCATTTGGAGCCAGAGTCTGTGCAGTGGTGATTGGAGTGTGGAGCCACAGTATCGAGTCCCCAGCCATAGACTCATCCGACCGAATCACGAGTCCATTACAGCTCATGCCATGCCCACTTTTTTGTAGCATCAAATATCTAATTATAACCAAACTTAGAAGAAAAACAGACACCTGAACAAACACCGGCGTGTTAAGAACCGCCTTAAATGACAGAAACCATCTTGGGAAAAATTTATTTGACACTTGCTTTGCTCTTTATAGTTTGGCCCATGTTCCATCCATTAACATGGAGGGGGCTGGGATCATGACTAAGGGTACAGATGAACAAAGAAATTAATATTCACCCCCTTTTAAATTCCATTCAATGCGACCAAAGGGTGATTAAAACATTTGTTTCCAGCAGCAAATCAATTTCGCATCTTCGCATTGCAAAGATTTTAGTGAACTTTGACCAGCGAAGTCGCAGCCTCAACCACTAGTAACAGAGTATGTTTGTATGAGACATAGATGGTTGCTGTGTTTAATCAGCTGATATTGTATAATATTGTTTTAAGTTTAGGTTTTAAGTTTATTTACTTTATTAATCCCCCTGAGGGGAAATTCAATGTTTTCACTCTTGCTTGTCAATTACACAGGTCCAAAAGACACATGCACAAAGTGGAGAGATGTCAGAGTGAGGTGGCTGCCCTTGGTGAGGGGCCCTGAAATTGGCCATGAAAAATACAAACTGACCCAGATGAGAGATGCTGCCTGGCTGGTAGTGTGTCAGGAGACAGGAATGGAACATAAGACATTGACAAATATGCTAATAACATTATATTTCAGCATATTTATCAGCTTGCTGGCTAACATTAGCGTGTGTTACATCATGTGTGACCGTACCCTTATACTGCAGCCAGCCACCAGGGGGTGATCGAGATGTTTTGGCTTCACTCTTTGGGGATTTGTCATGTCGCCCATTTTTTATTATACAGTCTATGATCTCAACTCTAAAACCATCTGCAAGCAGTTTAGTTCAAGAAGCAACGTTGGTCGTCAGCCTATAAACAGTCACTTCAAAGTAACAACACTGAAATTAAAAATCTGAAGAGAAGAAGCTTCCTCTAAGAGTCAAAGAGTCACTGCTTGCCTGGAACAGGGTGTACGCACATCTTTATAAAAACCTCACAATCTACAATGATCTCCAAACCTCACAGACAGTCCAATCCTCCCTGATTCAGTCCAGATGTTCTCATTGGAGATTGTGATCTGTTCGTTCTGTCTGTCTGCCTGGTCAGTCAGTTACAGCATGTCTGTTTGTCTGTCTCTGTTTGTTGTGCTTGTGCCTCTGTGTTTGGGACGGGGGGATCATGGTGAAGAGGTGTCACATTTTTGTTTATTTTTGTTCAGAAGCTTATTTCACTGATATAACTGTTATCTGTTGCTTTGAGCTGTGGGTTATCACTTTCTTTTGCACCCGTACTGTAGGTTTTCCTCCTGGTTTCACAGAGCTGCTCTGCAGTTGACCAAACCCTTCAGTAAATCTTCTACAAGGATTTTGTTTTGTTTAATATTCAGATAATACTTTGTCCACATCATTAAAAGATTGTCTTACAACAGCTTGGCAAAATCAGATTAAACTTTTTTTGCACTCGTTTTGGTTTCTTTACCCTGGCAGGTTTTCATTTTTAGGCACATTAATTACAAATTGTGTGTAATTCACATCACAGCTGGACCATATTGAAGATCTGGGCTCGTATTTATCAAGCCTCTCACAGAAGGAAATCAGTAGCGGGTACTGACTGGCCAAAAATTCTCAGAGGAACATATTTTTGGTCCCAGTTTAACAGCAAGCAGTAAAAGCATTTCATCAACATTCTCAACCAAGAAAACCCTGTCTCTGTTGATATTTAGGAAAACTCCAGGGTGTCGCCAGCAGATGGCCTTCAGGCAAATCCATTGGAGGAAAGAAAGATGTTCAATGATGAAAATGACCTTATGAAAAGATACTGTTACTTCAAAGACTGAATCATTTTTGTAATTGACGTGTGAATTTTCAGAATAGTTTTAATTGATTTATAAGTAAGTAAGTACAATTGATTTATATAGTGTGTAGTTAAAATAGGAATTTGACAGTGAGACGATTTTATATTTTCCAACACCATCACTGTACAGTAAGTAATGCAACATTCATGCTAAATGTGTGATTGGATAGGACTGACAAGAATATGTCACACAGCTGAGTCAAATTTCCTTCTTAACTGTACATAGATTGATTTTCTTAGGGATGTAGTTGCTTGTGTACTCTTACAGCCAGCTATGCAAATAGCTTCTTGGTAGAGGTGTGCATTTATTTAAGCATTATAGTTTTGTATATATTCAATTTCAGTTCAGTTTTATTTATGAAGCCCAAAATCACAACTCACACTTTGCCTCAGAGGACTTTAAGCATACGACATCCCTCTTCCAGGATGGACAGACGTGCAGTAGATGTCGTACAGAACAGATCAACATGATAAATTAACAGTAATCCGTATGACACAATGAGACATAAAGAGAGACAGAGACAGAGAGAGAAGCAGGGCAAGCAATAATGACAATAGCTACTATACCATCGATTTTAGTAATAATATAACAATAATAATAGTAGTATTTTGGTAACATATGTTGTAAGTATATATTAATACATGATAGTATATGTATGTGACAATAATTTTCATGTGTACAATAATAGTAGAAGTATGAGTAATAATAACAGCAGCAGTAATCAGCATCAGGCAGGATGCGAGAAGCAGCGTAACCACGACGCACTATCCAGGCGTAGCCACGATTCGAGTTAACATGCCAGACAGTGGAGCACAAAGGCTCCAGAGAAGAAGCCGAGTTAGTGACATGCAGTAATGGGATGTGAATGTTAGCAAATGAAGAAGAACCAACTTTTCAGAATCAGACAAGGAGAGAAGGTGCTCAGTGTATTATAGGAGGTCCCGGCAGACTAGACCTAAGTCAGCCTAACTAGGGGCTGGTACAAGGCAAGCCTGAGCCAGCCCTAACTATAAGCTTTATCAAAGAGGAAAGTCTTAAGTCTAGTCTTAAATGTGGAGACGGTGTCTGCCTCCCGGACCGAAACAGGAAGATGGTTCCACAGGAGAGGAGCCTGATAGCTGAAGGCTCTGGTCCTGGGTCACTGGTTAAGGTTTTAGCCTAAACACAAAAGCCTACACATGAAGGTGGTTACTATTCTGCATTTCTGCCTCCTACTTCATGTGTAACTCTCAGTCCTACTCAGAGTGATTTAGTCTTAGTGTAACTTTCAGCACAATATCCTTGTGAGATGCTTGATAAATACGGGAACAGACAATTTGTTTTTAGATCGATTTCCTCCCCTCCAGTCTGACATTTTTTTTTTGTCATTTCTACAAAGATATTAATTTGCAGAGACGTGAAAACCTGCTGCAGATAATTGATCACTGTCAACATTTTTTTTTCATAGGTCAGACTCAGGCCTATTTTTTACACCTTCACGGTGGCGTGTACTTCAGACACAGCTTGTAGAAATTGTGCCAGCAGGTGATCGCAGATCTGTCCACAGATTTCACAATTAATCACATTAATTGTGAAATCTGTGGACACAGCTGGACTCTTCTTTAAAACAGGTGATCACAGAGGTGTGGATGTGACTGATGAGTCATCTGAATATTACATGGGGAAAACAATAAGGTCACTGTGGCTGCTAAATGTAATGAAAGTCAGTTTGTCCCACAGCCATCCTGGAGATAATCCGTCACCCCTGCAGGCAGAAGCGCTTCAGTCAATTGTTTAATTATTAAAAACTTGCTTTTAATATGTTTTCTCTCTTCACCACAAAAACAATGTTATTCCACTGAAAATCTGGTCTTCAAACATGCTAAATATCTCCTGCAGTGACGGGCTTCTCCAGGTGTGGTCACCATCTGTCAGACTGACGGATGTCCTTTCATTACGTTGCAGATAATTAATTGTGCGGACAAACAGAAGGTGGAGTCTGTGGACTCAAGTCACAGCTTTTGGTCTCTGCTTCACCCACATGTTGGAGCACCTCAACGTTTTGCTTCTCTGCCTGTTATCCCTGGGTTTTATTCAGCTTGGGGTGCAAAGCAAAATGGCACAGCTGAAAGAGAATGTACCAGGTTTAGGTTCAATTCACCATCAGTTCAAAGCATGTACAAATGGACCGGGGGGGGGGTTCTGTTGCCATGTGGGTGATGGTGATGGTGAGGTGGAGGTTAGGCTACATTCAGACTGCAAGCACAAGCGGCCCAAATTCATATGTGACTCAGATCTAGGTTTCTCTTTTCATAACAAGTTTGAACACCACAGATCACATGGAATCTGATCTTTTCAATTCTGGGTTCACTTTTGTACGTGCTCCTAAATAAGATACAGGTCTGAGTTTTTGAGATGCAACCTTCGTCTGAACAGTCATATTGGAGCTCTCACGACTTTTACATCACTCACAGATGCGTCCCCTGAACTGAGAGCCTTACCGCTTGTCTTGTCGACAGGTACTGACACAGATGTATTTAAAAGTAGCCTGTGGCGCCATTCACATCACAGTCCCATCACTCCTGACTCACATCCACTAAATTCAGCTCTCTTTCTCCGCGTCCTTGTTATCTGCTCATGAATTTGCTGGCTTCCACTGAACATCAACATATAAATGAAAGCATAAACACTGACTTGAGTGGTCTCCCTGTTTACTTTACTATGAAAGCGTGCTGCATGTGACGTCTTTGCAACTGTTCTTATGTGCACGCAGGTAAGTTCAGGACCGTGACCAATTCACACTTGAATTTGATTTTGGCTACATTTAAAAAACAATGAGAACAGCCATCCATTTTCAACCACTTATCCAAGGCCGGGGCGTGGTGGCAGCAAGCTGAGCAAAGTACTTCAGACACACCTCTCCCCAGCGACGCTTTCCAGTTTCTCCTGGTGGATCTCAAGGCGTTCCCAGACCAGACAAGATATGTAATCCCTCCAGTGTGTTCTGGGTTTGCCATGGAGCCTCCCACCAGTTGGACGTGCCCGGAACACCTCTAACAGGAGGCGCCAAGGAGACATCCTGAGCAAATGCCTGAACCACCTCAGCTGAACCCTTTCAATATGAAGGAGCAGCGGCTCTGCTCCGAGCTCCCTCTGGATGTCCGAGCTCCTTTCCCTGTCTTTACAGTTGAGCCCAGACACCCTTTGGAGGAAACTCATTTCGGCCACGTGCACCCATGATCTCAGAGCTCATGACCATAGGTGAGGGTTGGGACGTGGATGGACCGGTAAATCGAAAGCTTCACCTTCTGGCTCAGCTCCCTTTTCTCCACGACACCACCGCCAATCCATCTCACGCTCCACTCTACCCTCACTCGTGAACAAGACCCCAAGATACTTGAACCCCTTGGCTTGACTTGTAACTCACGATGGGTACAGCCAAACAAAAAAAAATCTGACCTACTAATACTCCTACAATAATACTGTGGAAACCTCAAACAGTTGAAACCCTATTGAGCACTAAGGCTTGTAGTCTGAACGTAGCCTGGGAGATTGATGTCACTGCTTGATCAGTACCAAATCAGGTTTCTGGTATGGATCGGGCAGTGACAGTTAAGCTTTGTGAACTTTGGATTTTGGATCATTTTGTTCTGAATATTCGACAACTGTCATTTGATTTAATCTCCAGACAAACAGCTGCTGAGGCTAATAAGGCTTTGCAACAAACCTCAGTAACGTGTTAGTTACTGACCAACATGTGTCTTTCATATCAAAAACTGTTCAGTAATTGAACTGAAAGTTGAAACTGATGGTGGATTGAGTTCAGCCTGGACACTGACCTGCAGGTGCTGGTTTCACAAAGATAAACTCTTTACAGAGACACACAGAACACATCATTAACATTTTTTTTTAAAATAAAGTATTTTTATTAGTAATTGAGTTAAGATATGCAGAGTATTAATAAACGAACACAGAACCAGTAAGGACGAAAAGACGACCCCACCCACCCGTCAACACAAGAACAAACAGTGGAAGCAGACCAGTCAAAGGGAATCCAAAAGAAAAGAAAAATAAAAGTAAAAAAACAATTAAGAATGACAACAAATTAACTTGTGTTATATAAGTAGGGGAGCATTGCGTCTTTCATCACAATTCTTTTGCTTTCATATTTGACACAAAAGTTTAAAATAGTTACAGCAGTGTCTCTTTCCCGGGAATCATGGCGCGGTTACTCAAGATAATCCACAGTCCACTAGGTACAATTTGCTGCAATAAAAATGACTTAAGTGAGATGGACAAACTGAAAACATTATTTTATTATATAGTGCATATGTACGTTTTCTTTTTGGACATAATTTACATTTGATCTTCAACCAATGAGCCAACGTTATTGCGATCTCTCTCGATGCAGACACGTTTTCTCGCCCTCTGCAAGTGTTGAAATTGAAGTGAGAGTTTAATGTGGTCACTCTGTAACTCTGATTAGCCTTTTAATTTTAAAAGTAAAACCAGTTTAACTTTATCTTTGTGTAACCAGCTCCTGTGGAAACTGAACGTCACCTGAAACCAGTGATGTTGTTTTCTTACACTCTTTCCTTTCATTCTCTTTTTTATCCAGGAGCCCAGTCTGCTTGTCCCCCTCCTCCTCCTCCTCCTCCTCCCCCTCCTACGCTGGACTCGTCCTCCTATCCTCCTCCTCCTCCTCTGTCCTCTGATGGAGCGGGAGGAGGTCGCACCGCCTTGCTGAGCTCCATCCAGGCCTTCAGTAAGGGCAAACTGAAGAAGGCAGAGACCGTCGACCGCAGCAAACCCATCATCTGACCCCGCCCACCTCCCCCTCCTGTTCTTGACCAGGAAACCGTCAGTACGGCGACATGACCGACCCTTTGGTTCTGCACTGTGGTCTGGACCAGTTCACGTCGCCACTCCCTGAGATGTGAAAAGGAATCACTAAAAAAAAAAAAAAAAAAAAAAAATCCAAGTACCATTTTAGTTTTTATCGCTATTCCTGCTTTTTTCTGCTTTTAAATTTTTAAAATCTGTTGCTGTGGTTGGAGAGAGTAGAGAGCGGGCGGGGGGAAATAGCTGCCTCAGTTTGCCCTTTAAAAACTCCGGACAGTCGGAGGCACCTGAAGGTTTGATTTCTCTGACTACTTTATCACAAGGAGAGCCACCAGGCTGCATATATAACAAGTTGGAAAACTCAAACTGAGTCTGGTGAGCTTTTCTGGTTGATCTGCTGCTTCAGCGGGCAGCCAGCTCGCTTCTTTTCTGCTTGTAAAAGTGGTGGTTGAACTTTTGAGATTTGAAGTTTTGGAGCCACTGTGGATGCTTCATCCTGCTGGCCGATGAAGTTGAATTTCCTGGATCCAAAACTCTAACATCAGTGCTGTGACGCTGTCATGGCGCTACACTGGTCCTGAAACTGGACCAAACTTTCCCTCTTTGAAATCATCTCATAACATGCAGCCTCCAGGCTCCACGTAGACTGTTTCACTGCAGGATGACAGTGACGAAGAACAACTTCTGAAAATCAGTACAGCTGCACAGAAAAAAAATCAAGTCATTTTTGTCTATAATTACATCCAAAAAACTGCTTTTCCTAAAACAAGTGAAAGTGCAGAATATTTTACCTGAATCAGCTTCTGTGTTTGAAGTGTTTTAAAATGTGTCTACATCTGGAAACAACAAAAATAAGGCAGGTCGCTGTATTAGAGGCAGAAAAATATAACTGGATCCAAGAAAATATTTACGTGTAAGTTGATTTTCAGTGGCAACTAGTTGGAAGTGACCTTGCAGATTTATCTTCAAACATTTTAAGAAAGTCAGACCAATTACAGACAGAAATAACTTCATAAGAAGAGTGTCTGAAACTACACAAACCTCGACCACAGTCAGGGTGGGATCACTCCTGAGATAAATTTGACTTTGCTGCATTTGTGCAATTAGTTCATCAGTTAGAGATTCTTGCAGTGCGCGTGTGTTAAAACCATGACATGAATCCTCTGCGGTGTTCATTCCAGTTAATAACATATAAACTGTGTTTTGTTCAGTTCTGTAGGCATGAGGCGTCCTCATTGGTCAGTTGTAGATTCATTCTGAACAACGTTGCAGCCGTTTCAGACCAAACATGAAAGAGTGAATAATTTTCACGATGTAGAGCACAAAGTTAAGGGCGGCACATAATCCTACAAAGCAGCTAACCACGATGCTACAGACTACAGTTAGTGTGTTTCCATCCACCTGTTTTTTTGTGCACTTTCAATTTGTGCATAAAAAAGCTGAGTGGAAAATTCAAAAAAATATATATCTCGAAAAAGCTTTTACACTTAGCTGAGATGGAAAAGTTGGTTTATAGATAAGAACAAAATATGATAATGTACAAATGGAAACAGATTTGGCAAATTAGTCATGACATACTTGAAGCATGTAAGTTTAATGTCCATCAAGGAGACAGTAAACTTCCTCAAATTAAAGGTTTACTTTGGTATTTTTCAACCTGGACTCTATTTTCTAATATTTTTGTGTCTAAGAGAATGATGGGAACAACAGTTTTTGAAATTTGTCCAGTACTGAGTGAAACAGGCTGCAGTGTAACCACTCCGGGCATTTGTCTTCACTTTATGTCCAAAGTGCTTGTTTTTGCCACTGACAGGCTCAGATTGTTATTGTAAGTGTCTGACAAATTTATTAAAGGATCCCTACAGAGATAGACTTTTTTGTAAAATAGTAAGATCATTTTTTGTTTAAATGAAAAGTGCTTTTGGCAAACCCACCAGACTCCATTTTAGTAATCAGTAATTTTAGCGTGTATAGAGCCAACATGTTTTCACAACTAACTGAAGGATTAAGGGTTTATTTCAACCAGAGCAGAGTTTGTGGTTGTTAAAATAGTGGAAAGACAACCCGAGACGGCTTTTGTGAATTTTATTTTATTTCTGTCGACACTGAATGAAGTGTGTTTAAAGATGATGTAAGTACTGTTTATTTGAATTGAGTCTGGTGGGTTTGGTGAGAGCAAAACAAAAACGATCTTACTCTTTAACAAAAAAGCCTATCTCTGTAGGGATCCTTTCCATAATGTCACTGACACTTAAAATGACAATCTGATCCTGTCAGTGGCAAAAACAAGTACTTTTAGTGGACATAAATTGGCGATGCACATTTGTCCATTAATGTTACATTGCAGACTGTCAGGCCAACACATTCTCACTCCGACCTCATCACATATTGACGTGCTTGGTCATGGACTTTCCACATCCACATACGATGCGCAAGGTACCCTGGGTGCATTGGTTGTTGACGTTCTGGGACGCCGTGTCAAGTTGCCTTCTTTCAATATACACTTCCGTTTTTGCAGGAAATTTAAAGCTTACATACAGTCTCTTTCAAAATAAATGCACTACATCGGTACAACACTACAAATTGACGTTTTTGTTTTTTTTTTCCTTCAACACCAAATGCATGTGGTTAGGTTTAGGAAAAGAGAACAGTGATTGGCTTTAGAATCTTACAGGTGGCGAAAACACCACTCTCTCTGGTAAAAGTCCAAAAAGTTTGTTGGACCGACCCGCCCCAATTGGACTTTCACCGCCTTAACTTTCGTCCTTGTCCTGCCTCCTCTCCCCCTGACGCTGCTGGGTGGAGTTAAACTATAACGGCAACTGGCCTTGTATCATGCCGACGTTAAAGGACCCCTTATTTCGTTGGTTTCTTCCGTTGGTTTCTTCCGCAAGTCACTGCCCAAGCGCCGGATTTCGACGACTTCGGAGCGAGACGGGGCTTGTCAGGCGGCTGCTGGCTGCAGCCCTCTCGCTCATTACTGGACAGATTTTAAAAACGGTTGTGTCCATCAGACACTAAAACACAAAAACATGAGAAAATATGGTCCAGGCTGAAACATACCAAAGTTACCCTTTAATGTATGAAACATAAATGTCATATTTGCATGTTTTATATGTGTGTTTTTTTCCACCATTTGTGGTTTGACTGGAAGTACGTTCATAACATCAGCTTTCCTCTTCTTCTGCAATGGTTTAAAGGCATCTGACTGGAGAATTAACACCACCAACTGTACCATCACTTACCTTATTGCACCAATTCCTAATTCCAACAATAATGGTAGCAGGTGGAAACACATTTCCTTTGTAGTTTTTCTGAAAACTTGCACTTAATTTGGATGGATATGTAACTAATGCTTTGTAAAACAATCAGAATAGAAGTCTTCTTAACTGGTATCCTCATTCTCTCAGATTGTTTACCCATGTCCTGGTGAGGAGAGCGGAATGAAATTTACAAAACTGGTGGAAAATTTTATTTTGTGCTCTGAATTCCAGCAGTGAAATTATCTCCATCATAACTTCTGCCTCATGTCAATAAGACTTCGGTTGCTAAATGTGGCAGGAATAAATGTAGTGTGTGCCACTATGGCTGGTGCAGCCGCTCTCTCCATTGGAAATAATGACTTTGCTCTACGCAAGGTCAAACTTGCACTTTTGGTGTGAAAGCCTGTAAAACAGAGATACTGGTCAGACGACTGTCCTGTCCGTGATCAGAGCCACATGAATCCACAGCGACGAGCCGCTCAGCTCTGATTGTATTTAGGGTCTGAAATTAATCTGAAATTTAACCGTGGCGGGAGATTAAAAAACACAACATTACTGATATGTAAGATTTTTATGATTTTGCTTCTTTGCACCAGAATAAAACTTTATTGTTATACTTGCAAGACCTGTACTGCTGCTTTTGCATGTTTTGGCCCATTAACTTGAAATCACACACTTGACATCGCTGCTGATCATTTTCCAGATCATCCACCATGTCTTTAGATTCTCTTCCTTCCAGATAGTCGTAGGTTTCTCTGAAAATCAACTAGCAAAGACTTGAAACTTGCTACAGAGAGAAAATCCATCTCAGTCAACCTTTAGTCACCTTTAGTTTTTGTTTTATTTCTTAACAGATTTGTGGTAATCTAAAGTTGATTACAGGGGTGATATTTAATTGTCATACTGGACATTAGATAATTAGAAATTTTTTGTAATGCAACAACTCATCAACTTGAAATCTAGCTTGTCACATCCTCCACCTGCTCATTCTGTTTCTGATGAAGTGGTTAATAAATGCAAAGTTTCTCAGCAGCTGATTCATTTTTGTCAGGCTGTAAGCTTTCTAGTTTTTTTTTTTTAATTTTTCTCGAAATGACCTTCACGTCTAATGTGGACTGTCATATATCTGGGTGGTTTAGGCCTTATATCCTCCTGAGACCCTGTGTCCTCATATGAGAACGTCGCATCTTTGGTTTCCTTTACCTTATACTTCATTCTGCTCTACTCAGACCTGTTGTCCTCGTTTGTGGACACTTTTTTGTGCCATCTAGTGGTAGTAAGGCCACAATACACTTATCCACATACGAACAAGATGGCCGCCATCTCTGCCAAGTCAGTCTGCAGCCAATCTCAACACAAACACACATCACATTTAATGGTTGAAAGTTGTTTATTTATGATTAATAATGTTTGCAGTTTGATACGGCAACAAATTTGTCCAATTGTAGCAGCAGTAACAAGCTAAGACGCTGGTAATTAGGAGGTATGCGTTTGAAGACATTGGGACTTCATTATCATCTCGTTTGAAGACATTGGGACTTTATTATCGTTTACAAAGTGTAGTTTTTTATAGCTATCAGATCCTACTGATCCCAAATAGCAAGAAGAAATTAAAATACATACAAAAAGTTCCAAGTCCACGTCTCTTGAGGATATAATGTAGATATTTATGATAGTTCATGGAAAGGCATATTGATGAAACCACACCTATAATAATGTTGAGTATTTTTTTAAACAAGAACATCCACAGATAAGAAAAAAGTGGATTTACTTCTCCCTGACTAGCTAGAAATTCAATTCATACCAAACAGGAAAACTGGAAAATTCAGATTTGGGAACAGCCCGACTTGTTTATCAGAATAGATGTTGGAGTGTAGATCAGTGCACCACCATGGAAGGATATAAAGCAGCAAATGGATCTTTCTGCAGCAAGTTTCAGACTCTTTATAAAAATTACCTGAAGGAAGGAAAGCGGTGGTATCCTCGTCATCAGAGAAGTGACATGTTTGCCCTCCACTGCAACACCTGCTGGTAACACTGGTGACTTTAACAATGTTTCCCTCCACAAAGGTCAGTTTACTTCATTTGACGTCCACTGAGGGTTAATTTCAGACCTTTATTGTGTTGATTCTTGTTATTTTCAAGCGTTTTGCATCTGTTTCATTCTGGTGTATTTTAATGTTTGCTGTCTGAGATTATTTTATTTTATTGTGCCATATGGATCCTTGTGCATATGGGGAAATGAATGTTTTTTGTTGTTGTTTTTGTTGAAATATTGTATGTGACAATGTCATACATACTGGATCATCTGTATGTATAAAGCTCTGTCTGAGGATGTTAACACTTTAGCACACAGGATGTTTTTATGTGGTTATTGGCATTATAGATCAGGCAGATCAGAAAAAACTCCCTAATTAAGCAACTGATGACGATTTTCTTTAACGTTTCATCTATAAAATGTCAGACAACAGTGAAAGTGTCTGTCACAGTTTTCCAGACCTCAAGGTGACATCTTCACATGTCTTGTTTCCTCTGACCAACAGAGCAAAAACCCCAAAATGTTCAGTTTACAGTGATAAACAACATTTTTTGTAGCTTCCACTTGGACATGTGCTGCTTCTTTGGGAGGAATTACTTTTGTATGAGTTAATACCGTGTGTTTTGAGGATGATCCTGCAGAGTATACCTTTAAAATGACTAATCGATCATCAAACTTGCTGCAGATTTTTTTTTCTGACATCCAGCTCATCAATTAATTGACTGATTGTTTTAGCAATAAAAATAAGCTCTTAGGTTTGGTTTTGAGGAAAAACTGAACCCTTAAAGTTAAAGTGAGATTAAATGTCAAATTCTTGGTTTCGGGGGGAAACAGGCGATTCAGATCCATCTGTCCGTCTGAAAGGAGAGCTATTATTTGTGTGAACAGGTTGAAAACTCACAACATACTTTGCATACATAAAACAGATCTGCAAATATATAAACAAAAAGACTCAGTGTGCTTAAAATGCAAATCCACAAGCGCAGAATTTAGATTCACAATTAAAAACTGGATTCACACATATCTGTGTTGGAAAGTTGTAAATGTTGCAAATGCTTTTCATTTATTTGTAAATCAGTTAAATATATTGACTTGTTTTTACTTGTACATTGGATTTAAATCTTGGAATTTCAAAGTTACAGTGAAACTGCAGCTAAGAATCTTAAACTTCCACTGTGTTTCACTACGACACAAATTTGGGCTGAGTGGTTAAAGGAATAGTTTGGCAGTTTGGGAATTGATTTGCCCTGAGTGTAACACGAGAGGATTGATATCAATCTTATATGTGTCTGTTAAATATGAAGTGACAGCCAGCAGCTGCTTAGCTTAGCTTACCCTAGCCTAGCATAGCTTAGCTTAATTTAGCTTAGTGTAGCATAAAGGCTGTAAAACAGGGAAACAGCAAGCCTGACTCAGTCTGGAGCTAACACAGTCTGCCAACCAAAATTTTTAAATTAACTAATCTTTCTATAGATTAAAGAAAGGAGACCTAATGTGTTAGCAGCATTCAGACATGCTTTTAGGCAAACTTTATAGCCTAACTTTTAGGTAGGCTAGCTGTTTCCCAGTCTTTGTGCAAAACTAAGCTAAGCTAGCCAGCTTCTGGCTGTATCTTTATATTTAACAGACAGAAATGAGAGTGGTATCTTTCTTCTCATCTAACTCTCCACCCGAAAGCAAATTGCCATATTCCCTAAAATTTCAAATTATACCTTTTAAAAGTTGGTGTGACTCAGGGGAGAAGCACAACACCACAAGGCTGCCAAGATCTACTTTATTTTTAAATCTTAATAGAAGTGACAGTGGAAGCAGCAGTAAACTGTAACTGGATTTCCACAGGAAGCCTCCACGCTATATTAATCCCACTCACCTGTGTATTACCTGATGTTCTGTGTGCTAAAGCGTTCACCTGTGTGAGCTCAGGTGAATCCTGATGACTCTGATCACTACAATCTGAATTTTAGCGCTCGGAGCGTTTTTTAAATCAGTGCTCTGTGCTGAAATCATTTGTTTTATTATTCAGTGCAATCCGGTCCAATGCGATGGTCCTCGTGTCTTTGAATGGTCATTAAATTGTATCAGTGTGTTTCTCTGCAGCACTTTACCCACGAGGGGTGGAAGATATGTCCACAGGTTTGAGTTTGTCAAAGATAATTAAATCCAGAGTCCCAGAGACAACGCTGGGTTACAAGTAAACTGGTATGAAAAACCACTCTTCAGTCTCCAGGTCATTTACAGTCACACACCAAATGTTTTCCAATGTTTTGTCCTGATGTCGCCTTTAAATAAAAATGATGCAGCTGCAAAGTGACCCTCCTCATCATCTATATTCAAATATTACAAAATCTAGCGAGCCTGCTGTGATGAAATGAAAACTGTATCAACGGAATGAATATTGATTAAAAAATGGTTCAGGAAAATCAAGAGTAAGTCGTGTTTATTGCAAATGCTGTTTTTTTTTTAAATACTTTGAAAGATTTAAAACACCTGAATAAAAACAAATTAAAGAAATAATGTGAAATATGGTACACGCTGTAATATGTACTTCCTTTTTATGTATGTTTAAGGAAATGCATATGTGAAAGCTCCCGAGCAACTCCTCATGAAACTAATTTAGCAGCACATGTTGAAATGAAAATCAAGATTTAATCAAAGGTTTAATAATTTTAGCATATGTTTTTCATTGAACTTTATTGCAGTAAATGCAAAAAATAAAAATGAAATACATATTATATTTTTACTTTTTTCTTTTGATTTGCATTTACTTAGGCATTTTTAATCTTCCATATTAACAACGGAAAGCAGCGTTATACACAAGTCTGCTCGGAGTGAAAGTTTGCACGTGAGCCAAATAATTAAAATGAATATTTTGCTTGAAAGGTTCCTCTGTAACATACAGCAGCTGTGTAGGTCACATAAAGTTTATATATATCTTTTAAGATCCATAAGTCTGGTTTATGGCTAGGTATTATAAACACTTGTACCCTGCATGTTATATAGAGATGTATTAATAACCTACATTTTTTCTTTAGTCACAAAAAGGCTATACATGGGATTGTATCTGTTGTATCTGATTGTTATCTGCAGGGTCAGATGAGTAGGCACTAAACATGACAGCAGCAATAGTTGACCGTTTCCACGGCAACCAGTAAAACAGTCAGGAGGGCTGTCTATCTGCAGTCTCTGCCCTCAGACTTTACGTGATGACAGTGAACACTTCACAATATGTACAAGTCCGCCAGAGCTAAGTTCGCATTTTTACAGTCCATGGTCCGCACATCCAGAGGGTGGACATTTTGATTGAGCCTGGATGTAGGAGTATGTAGGTGAAAGAGAACTACGGTGGCCGAGGCGAAAACGGTAATTGGCCCGATCTGTTTTGTCTGCTCCGAACTACTGTAGAAACAACATGGCGGACTCCGCGGATGACAACTAATTGGACCAACTATTAAGATATAAAACGGCTCATTCTAAGGTAAAGAAAACACAATAACTCTTATTTTCAGGTGATTAAAGTGATGAAAAGACAGTTATGAATATTATATTACATTTCTTTCAATATATCCCCCTTAATCCCACAAACTGGACCTTTTTAAGTGAGAAAATTTAGCCTACTCCTCCTAAATTAACGTTAGATGAGCTGACCCTGTGTCGTTAAATATTGTGAGGAACTGAACAAGTACTCACCTTAAACCTGCATTAATTTAATTATTTGGCTTCATAAGGGGCAGCAGGAACAAACTGTAAACACAACAGTGACTTACTGTCACCTTTAAGTTGATGTGGTGAACCTCTTAGCAGATAGCTGATTATTTACACATCCATCAGTTACAGAATAATATTATAATTATTTTGGAGACTTGTCTGTGACCACCTGATGAAAGTTAGTCCAATATTCACTGTGTTAGCTCTGTTTTAAGTCTTCAAACTCCTGAGGGAAATATCCCTCTCTTCAGCTGCTTTATGCTCCACTATGCTCACCAGCTAGTCTCTAACTGTGTCTGTCTGCTGTGTTTTGCTGAGCAGGTAGAGTACAGTTGGTTTTCATAAGCATTTTGCACTCTGTAAACATCACTGAGAGAGATGAGAGTTAAGCAGGACAGTAATTTTGTTGGTCAGACAAACAATGAGCTGAAACTCTCACTAATAATTATCTGTAGGTTAATCACTACGAGTGACACCTTTCACATTGTCATTTGATTAATTGTTATCATAAAATAGCTAGATTAGAGCTTCTTTAAACACCATTATTTATAGTTCAGCATATATGACTCTTATTGTTTTGACTGTAAATCTTATGACTTTAAGGTTAGAGGTCAAAGCAGCGGCTTTGTCATCTGCGTAGCATGACTGGAGTGGATTGTGTGTGTTAATAATGAAAATCATCCACCACCTTTGTGTGCACTTTGAAGTCAGGAACAGAAGAATCAATGAAAGGACTCAAACTCGTGTTTTTCTTTTACCCATGTTCCCTTTTTTGCTTTTTTTTGTTTTCATGCATAGACAGGACAAGTGATACAGCAGAACAGCATGTCTCGGTGTCACTAAGGCCACAGTTTGAGCATTGTTAGTCGTAATTTTATGGATTAATCTTTCTCTATTAATCATAAGCATGTTGATGTCCGTAGTTATCAAATCTGACGTGATTTTCTGTCACCAGCGGACTAAGGCCTCCAGGCTGCTGTCTGTGAAAAATAAGGTAAAGATAAAAAGTTGTCAAGTTGCATTTCAGTTGCAGTCTTTCACAGTGACTGCTGGAGTCAGGACATGGTTAGCTTAGCTTGGCATTAAAACTGGAAGCTCACAAATAACACATTGTATCTTACTGGAACTGTCTTCCCCCAGGAAGTTAGTACAGCCACTTGTTGTTGTTGTTGCTCAGTTTGTGTACAGATTGAACAAATAAGATACAGTTGCCCTTATACAGGAAGCATCATATGAACAAATTTCCTCTTATTTTTGTAACAACGTTTTGCTCTAATTTTGTCTGCTGATTTCTTGGATTCACAAGTGTTTTCTTATTTTTTGCTGTCTCACTAGCACTCTTATCAAGATCAGAGAAAAACGCTACATTTTTAAAGTTTACAAATTGTTTGTCTGAAACAAGGAAACATAATTTTTATGTTCAAGGACTAAAATTTTACTTTTTTACTTGAGTATGTTAATCTCGTGCCACTTTCTTCTTCTACTCTTCTACACTTCAGAGGGAAATATTGCTTCTTTTTTTTTTACTCAACTACAATTAGTTGATCACTTTAATCACTGGTTACTTTACAAGTGAAGATTTTTGCTGGGTTTTTGATTTTCCTGTAGCACCTGTACTGACATTCTGGAAAACCACCTGTTTACATTGTTGACATTTTATTTAACAGCATGTCGATACCACTGTTGAAGTTCCTCTTCTTACACCCTTTTATTGGTGGCATCTTTCCAATTCTTGCTCTGGCATGTACCAGAGTTGTTGCACATGGCATAACACCTGCCCTTATCTAGTGTTTAGGGGTGCTACTTATGCTAATAGGTTACTTGTGATCAAGTGGGATTTATCATTCAGCACACCTGGGTAACAGCAGATTTAAATGGTTTAGAATGTGTGGTGCATCTTCTCATAAGAGGAAATACAAGAAAATTTAAGAAATGTGGCCGCATCAGCCCCAGTGTTGTTCTTTAGTGAGCTTTATTATCTCTTTTTGTAAAATGTATTTATGTCTCATACATAAATGTATCCAATCAAATGTGATTGGGGGAGACTGGCTAACTGCTTCAGTCATTTAAAACTCTTCTAAAGTAATTTGTTTTCAAATGTTTATCTTACAACACAGAAAAGGGAGAAGTGGGAGGTGAGGCTCCGACAGTTGTCTACAACTGTATATTGGGTGTTATCCCTCTGTGTTGTGGGTTTCCTGAAGGTAGAAACACAGAGCGAGTGAAGGCAGCTGACACTCACCTCTCGCACTCAGCTGCATTCCAGTCTTTATGCTAAACACAGCTAACCATGTCCTGTCAGACTGTTTCTTTAAAATGTGCTCTTCTATCTTTAGGATGGTTACAATTAAAAGCTTCACCATAGTAGTATTAATAGAGTAAAAGTATGAATTACAGAATCAGTCCCTCCAGGAAATCACAATCTTGTTATCGCAGCAATGAATGCAAATTCAATAAATCTCCTCATTATGTGTGAAAGTTTACAGTTTAGTCTAATCATTGAAATCCAGTCAGAAGAATGCTCACAATAATTATGATAACACTGTGAGAGATCCTAGAGGGAGTGTGTAAAGAAAAAAATCGTCCAATAACTGTTGAATCAAGACCCTTGCACCTTCACTGATTAACTATTTTTTCACCTCCGTCAAAGATATGCTCAGGTATGTTAATGAGAAATTATCTGTTCTTAAGTTCTAATTCGATGCTCTCATTTTAAGGATTTGGCCGACGCTCTCATTCAGACAGTTTATGGTTTTGGGCTTTTGCCCATGGACTGTGTATAAAGATGGATGACATGACAGCTCCTCCATTTTAGTGGTGGGACATGGGTCAAACTAAAAACTCACATCACAAGTACACATCAAATAATTTTTTCCCAAAGATGGTTTGTGTCATTTAAGATGGTTCTAATCATGCTGCTGTTTGTTCAGTTGTTTAATGCTACCATATGATTGACACCTGTGTGAGCCAATCGGTGGGCTCGCATTCAGTGGCACTGCTCATGAGAAGTAGGGCAGGTATATGGGCGGGAAACTTGATACCATGGAGTTCGCTACTGCACAGACTCTGGCTCTGAATTACATCACCAGAGCAAGACGGCAGCAGCGGTATCTGGGATATTTTAGCTTCACATATGTACAGTGGGAGTAAGTGGAGACGCGTCGTATGTCTTTATACACAGTCTATGGTTTTGCCTGTGAGCTGCTGTTGAATCAGACATCAGTTAACTGATGTTTCAGATTAACCCCTCAAATTACAGTTATGTGTGCTACGTGGCTTCACAGCAATCATAACTGAGCTAATCTTTTCAGAAGGTGTTGTCCATGAAATCAGAGAAATTCAGGGGTCCAGATTCTTCATCAGGAATCATTCTGGAGGTCCACACTTTGTTGCCCATTCCAAGTTACCGTGGAAACAACCTGAGAAGACAACCATGGAAAGTTATCATGGCAGGAAAACGTCTCTCTTCTGTCTCGCAGATAGTGAGGTAAGCAGTAGAATTCTAAATATATTATATAGACAGCAAGGGGGCAGAGGGTGTGGTTCTGCTTATTCTACATTGGGTGCCTGCATCCTGAAGAATGTGCTGGTATTTAAAGTAGTATTTCACTACTGGAAAGATGGTCTTCTCACAAAACTGGGCTGTCTATACTGTAGAAACTCAAAAATACTTTTGAAATTGATGCTACATGACCAGAGAAAACAGGGGAGAGGTAGAAAACCTACAATGCTAATAAACGCAATAAAAGATGCCGCTGGTAGCTGAGATGCAGGCTTGACCGCTTTGACACAGGGACCAATATGGCGGCCAGTTGGTAACAAACGAGCTCGAATTACAGTTAAACGGTGAGCTAAAATAAGTTCCTGAAAACATTTGATGCGAAAAATATGCAAGCAGTGTTGATCAAATATGAACAGAATCTTGGTTCATATTTGATCAGCACTGCTTAGGTTTACCATTTGATCACAGCATTTTTAGCCTCCGTTCTACAATACAAGAAGAATTTCTTGTTCACAAATTCTCATATTACAGCCAAACAGTGCACTCAGATATGTTTCTGAAGACATTATAGGCGAGAAATAGGCCATACAGTGACAGAATCTTGGTTTATATTTGAGTCTGTATCAAGACACTCTTGCTCAGGGGATCCAACCAGGGTTGATCAGGCCCAGCTTGTGTCCAAGTAGCAGAGGAGTGACAATCCTGATGGTTGTCTTCCTGTATAGTCCTGTGATGCCAAAGAGCTTTAAGGCCCTGCAAAGGGACTGCCAACCTCACTGAGCTGGCCATCCTCGCCTCTGAAACTCACCTAACACATCTGAGTAATTTGCTGAATTCCAGCAGGACTGCTTGCCTTGCTATTTTGGACATCACTCTCCATCTCTCCCCCAGTATAGATGGCATCTGCTGAGGGTACCTGTAGCACCACTCTTGTGTACCTTCAGAGAAGAACTCAGGATATGCTCCAGGGATCCCTTTTTCTGGTGCAGTGTGCACACCAGTGAGTCTGCCAGACCCTACTGTAAAAGGTTGGATGGGCTGGGGATCAGGAACATGATCTGGAATGGCTCAGTCTTCCAGAGCTTTTACAAAGTAATCTTGCAGTCGATAGCTTGCTCCCATCCAGTCTACATGCCCCACTGCAGTATTCAAACTAAGCCAGGGTATCTGTAGTTGATACCTTTACGGAATCAACTGAAATAACCCAGTACCAAGTTGTTTCAAAATGTACCCAGTCGAACAATACCTGCATTTGATCTTTTTTGCACCAGGGGTTTGATTTGGGACCGTCCCAACACCCTGCTGGATCACCAAACTTTCAGTTTCAGTGATTTTAATGCACAAATGTACGCAGACGACGTGGTCATTTTTACTTATGGAAATGACGCAAAAGACATCTCTCTAAGGCTCACGGATGCGCTGCACAACATACAACATTGGCTGAAAAACACCTGCCTGCTGTTAAACACAAAAAAAAACAGTGTGCATGATGTTCAGCAAACGCCCTACTGACATCAAAAGGTCCAATGTGTTTCTTGACGGGGAGGAATTAGAGCTGGTCTCCCACTTCACATACCTCGGAGTCGTCTTGGACTCAAACCTGACTTTCAAGAAACACATTAAAAAAGTCAGAAACACAGTAAACTTTAATCTATTAAATTTTAGACAAATTCGGCCCTTCTTAACAGATGATGCAGCTAAAACCTATCTTTTCAGCCTGATTCTCTCTCATATTGACTACTGCTTCACAAACTGGGCGTTTGCAAGCACCTCAACTTTAAAACCCATAGAGCAGATGTATAACAGAGCAGTAAAGATATTTGACCGGAAACCAAACTCCCATCATCACTGTAAGGTCCTGGAAAAGCACAAATTTCTAGACTTTGAAAATTTAAAAGTATTCAAAAATGCCTGTTTCATATACAAATGTTTACACGGACCAGCACCAGCTCCTGTCAAAGAGTTCATCCATAAAAAAAGACTCACAGGACATGGTACTAGGTCAGGCACAAGAGGTGACTGTGAAATTACACACAGAAGAACCACCTTTGGTCAGAATGTTCTATCCATAAAAGGTGGGCAAAGCTGGAATAACCTCCCAGTCATTATCAGAGAGAGCACCACTCTTAGCACTTTCAAGGGGAAGCTGAAAGCATGGTTACTAGAAAATCAAACATGCGACCACCTGTAACCTGTAATGCAATGCAATTGTTGGGTCATCATCAGAGTTTCTTTCTTTTTCCGTTACATGTATACAAAAATTACACAATACTTTTGTGTATGATTTTTTCTCATCAGTAGTGTTTACATAATACATTTATGTATCACATTTAGTGCAATAATTACACGCTTCTGCATGTGCAACTGAGTGTACTGGGCCTCGTGCAATACAAACTGGCACTTTAAACTGATGTGCACTTTAGGGCTTTGTGCAATTTCATCTGGCACCTTAGGGCATTGTGCAATTTCATCTGGCACTCATGCACTTTAGCACTTGACACTTTACCCAGCACCTATGCACTTTACTCTTCAAAACGAAACTCTTATGGTCTCCCTACCTGTGGGCTAGCTCTCCACCCACAGTCAATCTGTATTGCAATTTATCTGTCTGTCTGTATATTATGGTTTGTGTTTTTCAATGTGTTTTTCACTGTTAGTGCTTGTTTTATTGCTACTGCTCCTTTTTTCTTACTGTGAAATGTTGTACTGTCTTAATTTGTTTTTATGTTAATGGGACTACGGATGGAAATTAGCGTCAAGCTACAATCCGGCATCTTTACATGTTTTAACATGTTCATCAATGTGCACTGTCCCATTCAAATAAACAAATAAATAAAATAAGTTGCTGCTGCCTCCAGAGCCGCTCTCGTCCCTGTAAATGGTCAGTCAGCATCCGCCCCGTTAGCACAAGCTAACACAGTAACGGCAGCTGTCATCCAACACCGAGCCGTCACATAGTCCCAACAACACACCAACACTGAAACAGCTCAACTCTGTCTGACTGTTTAACCTGTTATTAACCGTTCAGTAATGTTAGCTGTATGACGGCTAGCCCTGTCACTGTGTGTGCAGGTTGACTCTCACTATACTTAGCATGGAGCTCACATTCCTGCAGCAGCAGCTACAACCCATACAGGCTGACGGACATATGGCTGTACTACCACTCCTTTGACATTATGGGTATCGAATAGAGTGCTCTATTGGTATCTGTATCATTTTAAGGGTACTGGTATTGGTACTGGTATTGTACTTTTTTAAACAATACACAGCCCTAATCCCCTCCATCCTGCTGGCACACCATCCACTCTTGCCCTCATCTCTTCCTGGACCATGTGACACTTATCCATTTCCTGAGCTCTGTCATAAAGAGGTCTTGGAATGCCACCAAGCTGTGCCTGTCCCAACACCACTGCTCCAACTAGCACATTGTGGTGTAGCTGTTCCTCAGCATGGTCAACCACCACCTGTGCCCTCCAATTCATCCTCATCCTGACCTCCATCACAGCATTTGAGACTCTGATGTCAGAGGAGTCTGTATGTAGCAGCATCTCTCTTGCAGAGTAACCAGGAACTCCTCTATCAGACTGTTGTGGGGGCAGATCTTGGCTGATTTTTCTTTTGAAGCCCCTGTTAGTAGTCACCAGAAATGACCAGATGCAGAAGGATTACATGTTGGTAGATTTGTGATTTAAAAATTTAAATTGTTTTGTTGTGTTAAAATAAAAGTTGATCTTATTTTCAGTTGTTGTCCAGTACAGGTGGAAGTAGGAGGGCAGCCTTTATGTTTGATGGATTGATTCTTGGATAGGGAGAAGTTAACTGAGTTGTACCATTTGTTTTGTCTCAGGACTAAAGTCGCCCTGCAGCTCTTCTTTGCTTATTTCTGTACTTTCAAACAGCAGTGGTGATAATGATGCTGTTTCTTTTTTTTGACACATACACCCAAACAACTTGTATATTGCAAGAGAGATCTAATTTTTGACCTTTGGAAAAAGTCTATTTGTTATTTTTTTGAGGAGCTTTAACTGTGTCTCATGGTCATCCTCATTTATGATCGAGATGGTTTAGTTGATTTCATGTACAGGTATGTATGACCCCATTTCCACCAAGCAGTATGGTACAGTTCAGTTTGGTACGCTTTTTTTCCATTTCCACTGTGAAAAGTTGTGGATGGTACCCATGGAGCTGTTCTGTACCGTCCCAATTTTTGGTCCCCCCTCTGTTGGGGTACCTAGCACACAGATCTGGTACTAAAAGGCGGAGCTGTGAACACTGCAGTCTGTTGATTGGTCAGTAGAGGACGGTCACTCTGCTCAGGGCTGAGTTGTGGCTGGTTTTGAGGCTCATGTAACCACTGTTCATACTGTGGAGAGTTTTATTTGTTAACTCTAACTATAAAATTAAAGGATGTTTTGCTGCCTCTCACAGCAGCTGGAGTCTGAGAAAAAAGTAACTTAATTCACTGGGCTGACTGCTGGTGACTTTTAAGGTGGAATGTTAACTTGTAATGTTAACTTTGACCATTACTTAAGTTTTTATATGACATTCACTTTTAGTAATGAGTGGATCTGCAAGCATTCATATATATTAATTTTGGTGGGGTTATGTGAACTATTCTAATCCTCACTCGGAGAAAAGAGAAGCGTTGTGAAGCGTCGTTCCTGTGGGCTACGGCAACACTAAAACCCCTGAGCTTGCCTGAGAAGGACTAAATACACAAACCCGTTATTTTAAAATATCCCATGGAGAGAGACTCTCTCTGTTTTATTTTGTTCTGAAAATGTTGGCGTGCAGCCTCGTTCTGTGGACGATAACCGAGATGCAGACTTCCCCGCCCACATTTAAGGGAACTGTCTGTGGTGGAAACGCTAGGGTCTAGGTACCATGTCTGAAGGGTTACTTTTGGTTGTTTGGTGGAAATGGGGCTTATGTTGTCAAATATGGAGCTTTGAACTTTGATCTTTCTCTAACTCTCTTCTGACTCCTGGTCAGTGATTTTGACTCCTGGTCATTTGACTTCTGGCTGGTGACTTTGACCCCTACCCAGTTTTTCCCGTTGAAAGCTTCAGAAAAAGCTATTAAATAGACATTCATTTTTTTTCCTGTCAAACCTTTATCTTGCTTGGACGCATAAATTCAAAGGTCAAACTCCACTACACAGGAAGTTTACATCATATCCCCTTGTTGTTTTTCAGTGGAAGTTGAGGTGAATCATATTTTTACACATAAAGCGTCTGCACCGTCACTGGCTCTTATTTGTCAGAGATGTGTCTTACCTAAGAACCCCAGGCCATGGTGACGATGGTTGAGGTATGATTTTTGAGTTTAGACTTGGCAGATCTGCGTCTCCTATTGGTCTGGTCGCAGTTCTAGGTTAAAGACAGAGAGAGAGTGACACAGATGAAGTTTTATGGTTCAGTCGGTGCACACTTAAGAAACAACAATGATCCAGGTATTTGTGGACTGAAGCAAAAACAAAAACAAAACCACAAGCACCAATTCCAGATTTCTAGCCAACATGGATTGTTTGAAGTTAAGTTGGTGAAAATTTCAAGTGTCTATGATTTGCCATGTCACCGGTATTTTCATTCTGAAAGAAGATTACAAATAATAAACCAGCACAACAAAAAAAGGGTTTCAGCCCTTAAGGCTTGAACCCCTGAATTTTGAACTTAGTGTTCGTTGATGTGACATTGTCAGATTTGAGACACGCCGCTGATGTTGGATGTTAATCCCAGTCACATACTTTAGTGTACTTTTTTTTCTTGTTTGGGCCCCTTGAATCCTAAGGAGGGAGATCTTTATACTGCAGCCCACAATGATATTTTAGATAGATATTCTAGTTTTGTGGCAGTGTGAGAAACAACCTTTTCTGTTTGAACATGACAGTGCCTCTGTGCACAAGGCTGGCTTCATAAAGAAATGGTCTTCCCAGTTTAATGTGGAAGAACTTAACTGGTCTGCACTTAGCCCAAAACTCAACCTCATCAACACTTCTGAGATGAACTGGACTGTGAGCCAGAGCTTATCACCTAACATCAGTGTTGGACCTCACTAATGCTCCTGTGGCTGATCCAAAACCCGATGTACTGGTTTAACAGGATGAAATTTCACTCGCACGTATTTGTGTCCGTGTGAGTATTTTTGGGAGCCTACCGAGACGCAGACCTCCTTGCTTTTGATACAGAGGTTTGTTCTGCAGTGCAGGTAGACGGCTCTGGTTTCCCCAAAAAACTGGAACATGCTGAAGGAGAAGAAGTCGGATGTTCCCTGTCCGTTACTCTCCACTTCCACAGTTTTGTCATCAGTATTCGGACAGCTGCTCAGAAAAAAGAAAACACATACGACATCACCAGTGGGGCTGGATTATTTTTATTGTCGACTAATCTGTTCATTATTTCTTCGATTAGTCGACTAATCATTTTATCGAAAAATGTGTTAAAATGTTGAAAAATGTCGATCTGGCTCTCCCAAACCCCAAAATTATGTCATCTAATGTCTTGTTTCGTATTCACACCAAAGGGCTTTAGTTCACTGTTATGGGAGAGTGTGTAAAGCTGCCAATATTTGAACATAAGAAGCTGCAGTAAGAGTATTTTGGGGCACTTTTATAGTACTTGTCTATGAAAAATCACTCAAACTGATTAGTCGACTACTAAAAATAGTCACCGATTATTTTAATCGTCGATTAGTCGTCAATTAGTCGACTAATTGTTGCAGCCCTAATCACCAGCTGCAGTCGTTCGATGTTCCATAAAATGTATCAAATCTGAATCTGGCGTCAAATCCTCTCGTTACACCTGAGTCCTTTCAGATCCCACACAAAACCTATTTAGGCTTGAATTTAAACATTAGTATGTAACTTCATTTGTAAGTAACTACATTTGTAATTAATGTACATTATAGTTCACAAGCTACTTGCTCCAAACATGTGGTTCTGTATAAAAGCTATGAAGTTGATAAAAGCTTAAATATTAATGTGATATCCTTGAAGGTTTAAGTGGGGAATTTTGACCACCACGTGGTTTTAAATCTAATGCACTTCTGATGGACAGGTGCGTAGGAGAATGAAATTAAGTTTTTGTCCACTCGGGGGCAGCACAACAAGCTGTAAACACAATACTGACAAAAGATCATCCTTGTTAAGCCTCTGTGTTTCGGCATCAAGGAGGTTGTCTGACTCTGTTTAGTCATTAAACTTCCTGCTGACGCGGTCAAGTAATTCCTCCAGACCATGGATGCGCTTTAATTTAAATTTAAATTAAAATAACAATTTGGCTGGTTGCAGATGTCAGTGTTTTCTGTTGTTCTTGTTGTTATTGTGGTATATTTTGTTTTTTAATGTTATTTATTCCCTTTTTGCCAGGAAAACAAAAATATCTACAATATGAAAAAATAAATAACATAACTGTTTTTGAAGTAATCAAACCCTTCATTATACAACTTTTGAGTGAGCATAAATCCAATCATAGACATTTATGAAACAACCTTAAAAATAACCCTCTTTCACATGAAAACATTTTTTCAAAAAGCTGATCCATACTGCATACATGCAAATTTCTCCTCCAAACTACTGTACTTATTCAGGTTTTTCACAAACAACTACAACTACGTTTTAAGAACGTTATAATTTACCTTCGCCCAATACTTATTTTTACTTAATAGAGCTTGGAAGGATCATAATGTAACTCAGTGTTACCTCCGTGAGTTGTTTATTTCTGCCACTGACTGCTAATGTTAACAAGCTCTCTTCCTGCCTACTTAAAGATAGATTTGTTGTTCACAATGCAACATTATCAAGGAAACAATAGATTTTGTTTTAACCAGCAAATCAAAGTTAGTTTGGTGCTCATTTGTGACAAATGCAAATACTTCAGTAATTCAGTTACCTGCAACATGGGACCGATGTGTTCAGCATCAGTGCCATTGAAATTTTCCACCAAAGAAACATCAAGCTAATGTACTGCTATAACATACAGTCAGCCAGTTGAGCTACTTGTAAGCTAATTAACACAGCAGATAACTTGTGCAAAATACCATCTTTTTAAAAGGGTTCTGGATTCAAAGCCGCCGGCCAGCTGGGACCCTTCTGTGTGGAGTTTGCATGTTCTCCCCTTGTCTCTTGGTTCTCCAGCTTCCTCCCACAGACCAAAGACATGCAGCTAAGGTTAACTGTTGACTCTGAGTAGCCCGTATGAGTGAATGTGAATATTTGTCTGTTTCTATAGCCCCTTTTACACTGCCTGTTCAAGGCAGGAATGTCATGCCCATAACTATGCCTAGCTGTTCTTTATAAAAGGTACAAATGTGCAAAGTGGTGACAGAGTTTTTTCGTTTATAAACTGGCAGCGGAGGATGTAACAGTGCTGAATCGACGTCTGTGTAAAAGGGACAACTGGCAGGACGTGACCATGGATGTACTAAAAGACCTGGGTACAGCACTGGCGACGGGGCTTCGTTCATTCCTATGAAAGTTGCTCAGTGGCGCATGAAGTCAAAAAAGCTCTATCTCTGCGGTATTAAATTACCCACATGATGGGCGCTGCTTCTGCATCATTGGGCCCACAGAGCAAGCGCACTAGAAACTTGTGTCTACACGGCCAAGTGCAGCCAAGAAGCCAACTTCCAACAGCCACTTGGCTGAATACAGGTTGAGCACTTTGCAAACTCGATTGGGGATAAAATAATTTAATCTTGCAGCTCTAATAGACCTTCAAAATGCTATCAGACCAAATTGATTAAATCTTGATAGTAAAACGAGTCATTTCACAGGGTTGTGATGCTCAAAAAGAAATGTATCCACTGATTTCTAGACGTCTCTTTCCCAGTGTATGTTTATGGTAAAAAGTATTTTTGGGCCCATTGGTATCACCTGATGGACCCTGAAAATAGCAGTACCACTGTTAAGCCTCTCCCAAAATTGGCTTCAAAGCTGGATGCACTCCCTGGGGGCCTTGAGACAACTGCAGATGGAATGGGTGTGACACTTTGACGCCGTGTAATGTGTGTGACCCACCCCTGGGAGATTTAAAAAGCAGCTAGAAGCAGTTAGCAGCTAACTCAAAAAGGAAAACAGCAGCTGAAAATATCCACAAATTGGTGAGACAGAGGTCTGGGCACTCCTTACCCTCCGAACAGAGATCAGCTGCCTTATAACAGGGACAGTAAATGATTGTTATTGCCATGTTATTCCATTGTTATTGTTTAGAAAGTCTCCTGATGTGCACATTACATGCCACACTAGAGGCCAACGCTGTTGTGTTTAATGTCACGCCTGTCACTCCTCTCTTACTTTTGGGATGCTGGTATGCTATGTAAAATTACACATTGTTTGGTTTCGTGTTAAAGAGCAAAGGTGACTTAATGATGGTACTTTGTAACGGTCCTATGGTGTGAACTCTTTGTAAAAAGGGCTTATGTGTCAGCCCTGTGATGGTCTGACAACCTGTCCATGGTGTACCTTGCCTCTCACGCAATGTCAGCTGGGCATAGGCTCTAACCTGCACTATAGCCAAAAGAAGTCCAGTAACCATTCTCTTTTAAGCTCTGGTTTGAGCTCCACCTTGGCAACCAGTGGAGAATCCACTGCTGTTCCTGCTCAAGAAATAGCCCGACACACAGCCCTATGTAAAACGCATTTTTTGACATTCTTACATTTCTGTTTTTGTTCTGCTTAAACAAATAAGATAGAGGTAGTTATATAGTGAGATTTAGAGGTGGTGCCAACTGAATTGTGTTACCTTTGGGCAGAGGCAACACAGCTGTTTCCCTCCATGTCTAGTGGATGTATATGGGCTGCTGGGTAGCTTCTTATTTACTGTACAGGCATGAGTGTGTTATCTATATATATTATATTTTGCCCTGGAACTAAATCCAGCCATCACCTAACAGTGACAGCGAAAATTATTTTGGGGCTCTATGAAAACTTGACAAGAAACTCCATGTCAACAGACTGGGTAACCACCTCTGTGTGTCTCTCACCGATCCGAGATGAGGTGATATTTCTGATCTGCATCAGCTGAATCTTCGTGGGTTGCAAAGCAGGACTGTATCACCAAAGCAACTTTATCATCCAGGCCGTTTGCCACCAGCGCGAACCAGACCCTCTGGCTCAGTTTGAGCTTGGTGTCCCCGGTCACTTCCTGTGTGCGTTGAGCATCAGTGTAGGCCTTCATGGTCAGAACGTAGTTCCAAATTCCAGTTGTAACATAGGCCACTGAAGGGCTGCAAACAAACGCACACACATCAGCTCTGTTATACTCACCACTGAAACCTCTAAACTCCTGTATCCTGTAACTAAGTACATTTACTCAAGTATTTCAGTTAAAGGGGCGAGTGATTTTAACGGGTAAAACAATGAATTAAGCAATTTCACATAAAAAAAAACATCAGTGTTTTCCCAAAACTGCTTGTCATGGAGGGCCTGCTGACTATAATGGCTGATGCAAAAATGAGAAAACACAATGACCCTATCTAGAGCCGGTGTTTGGTTTGTCCTTTCATGGATACTGTAGAAACACGGTCGTGCAACATGGCAGACTGTGGACAAGGACACGCTCCCTATGCAGATATAAATGACTCATTCTAAGGTATTGAAAATATGATGATTCTTATTTTCAGGTGTTTATAAACTAAAGAAGTTACACTTATCAAATAATATTGCATTTCTCACAACATATCTCCCTAAATCCTACACTCTGAACCTTTAAAGTCCGGGTAAAGCAAATTCAGTGATTTCTGTTAAACTGTTTTTCACAATTTCTGTGTCCAGGATTTTTTGGGCAAGTCAAAAGCCTGCTCGATAATGTGATGGAGCAACCCTTATCATAACCCCTCCCCAACTATATAAATACTGCGTCAATACAAACACTAACATAGACTGCAGTGCGTACATCTGTGTCATTTCATTCAGCCCCTGTGAATGAGCGGCAAGTTTGCTACGTTCCATGAGCTCTCTGAACTCTTTCAGTTAAATAGATACATAAAAAAAACATCTCTGTTAAATGCTACAATCATGTTAACACAAGCAAAGTAGTCATCACTAAAGCGGAATTATACTTCTGCATTAAATCGATGCCGTACCTACGCCGTAGTCTCTGTGTCGAAGTAGAGCCTATATTGGACCCTGCGCCGTAGCCTGACGTGCACCTCCCCAGAAATGTAACTACATGTTGCGGTGACGCAGACCTCCTGTCTATTTTTGTAAGCTGAAACCATTTCCCTCAGTGGAAATGAAGCTTTTATGTACTTTTATTTCACAGTTAAGAAACAAGAAATTGTGAAGACAATAAAGCCTCCACAAAAATAGCACTCTAGTGTGATTTGTGTGTGATTTATCCTGACTTCATATGAGCAGAGGAAATCTCCGCTGGTCGCTAGGCTAATTTATACAATGTAAAATGCCATAGGCTTGTGCTGATCACGTTAGCATGTTGTATTTGTTTGGAAAATTTGTTTAGTATAAGACAGTTGTTTTGTCAGTGAACCTTGTGAGATGTAATGGAGCCGAATTTTGTAATATTGCCTTTGTTAAATGTTGCTGTTGTCCCTGGCTTCATATGAGTAGTGGAAAAGTCTGCTAGCCATTAGGCTAATTCATACAATGTAAAATGCCATAGGCTTGTGCTAAAACATTAGCGTGTTGTATTTGTGGGGAAAATGTGTCCAGATAAAGACAAGTGTTTGTCTGTGAATGCTGCGAGTTATAGTGAAGCTGATTTGTGTACTTGTGAAATTGTCTCTATTAATCTATGTTGAATCCATGTTTAATGTGTGTTTTTAATCAAGTAAACTTTACAGCACTTCTCAGAAAACCCGCCGCTGACAAATGTTTTGGAGGTGTAACTGCAGAGTGACACAGACACACCACTGCACAAGTATAAATGCTCATAAAGGCATAAGGCTACAGCGTAGGGTCTTCCACACAAGTACGTACCTTTCAGTCTATTAGACAGAAATGGCTGCCCGGCTCTCCAGCAGTTATTGCCCATGCTGTGGGTGTGTGCTTTGTGCTAACGTTAGCTGCTGAGGTGAGAGGCTATCCCAATGCAGCGGCCTCCATTCCCTGGTTCAGAAAGTGTGCTGTGCTACCACAGACTGTGCTACTGGGTGAGCTGCTGTGAGGCTGATTGTCCGGCTCAGGAGTCGTATGTGTGTGTGTGTGTGTGTGTGCCCGTGCTACAGGCTTATCACCTAACAAGAGTCCTTGGCTTTGCAGCAGCCTGGCAGCAACTCGATCTTCAGAGGAGGATACTGCTCAGTGTTTCATGATTTTGAAACTTAATATCGTATCCTTGCATTTTTTTTAATTATTCAGATTTGGTTGGGTGGTTAATAACATATTTTTCAGTGGTGTGACAAACTCGTTACACATATTTATTTTTGCCGTACCCTTACTTAAAGGTAAAAACGGGATTTAGGTATTTGCACCTCAGAGTTGGGGTAGGAGTCTTAGGGGTTGATTATTATTTATTAATACGTGACATTATGCTGTATATTTTATATATTTTACCTCACCCACAGGGGCAGGAGGAGGTATGTTTAAATTAGGATAAAACAATCTACTCCATTGCACACTGCCACTTATTTTGTCTCGCCATGAAATATTGTTGAACCCCTAACCAGGACACACCTGCCACTGGTACCACTTTTGACTTTGATGTTGACTGAGAAATCGATGTTAATATCTGGAATAACAAAGGGGCAGGTGAAGTCAACCAATTCCTTGTTAGTGGTCTCCAGCTTGATGGCGTTCTTGTTGATAATTTCGTCATCACTGTTCATCTGCAAAGTCACAGGGAGTCATTGTTACTGCAGAAGACCAATGAGTTATAGCTTCTCCTTGTTATATTTGATGTTTTTTCAAGACATTCACTGTAACCAGCATTATGGGGAACAAGGGGCTCACAGGTCAGAGCAGCAACTATAGAATGATAAAGCCTACAAAGGACATCTGGCTGCTTACTGAGAGTTAATAAAAAGTAGTGGAGAGACACCCACCCTGATCATCGTCCCACAGGGGTTGGTGCTAGAGTCGAAGCTTATAGTCACCAGGTGGGTCGTGTCGTCCTTTTCAGCTCTGCAGGTTTTGTCGTAGAGGTGTAAGTCAGTGTAGCTGATGTCTTTGTCCTCCAGGAGACAACCAACCAGAGTAATTGACTGAGAGCTCCCATCACAGACCGCTGGGTCACCTGAACACAGGACAGAAATGAAAACAATCAGTGTTGTGCAAACGTTTGGAATCAGGCGTTATAAAAGCAGCTAGAGCCGTCAGACAAATGTAGTGGAGTAAAAAGAGATGAAGTTGAGTAGAAGTATGAAGTTGCATGAAATGTAAATACTCAAGTAAATTACAAGTAGGCCTACCACAAATTTGTACGTAAGTGCAGTACTTGAGTAAATGTCCTTAGTTACATTCCACCAATGCTAACTTACATCACCATTTATTAAGTAGGTGAAACGTCATTCACTGCAACCATGTGTTGATAACAGTTGCCTTAGTTCATTTGTGGGATGGTGCAGCTGAACAACTGCGACTGAACACTCAAACTCATGATGTAACTTGAGTTCAGCAGGTCGACACTGCAGAGCTGAACATCATCACTCTGTTGTGTAACAGCCATCTTACCCAAAGTGTCTTCAGTTCTGTATGGGGAGGCAAATATGGCCCGACAGTGGCACCGGGTTCCATCACCACTGCTCTTATCGCCGCAGAATTCATCAGGACTGCAGTACTGGTCCTGACAGTAGGCCTGAGGTCCTTGAGCTGCAGAGAGAGACGGGCAGAGGGAGAGGTGTTACAGGTTGAGAGAAGAACAGCAGAACAACACGTGAAACAGGTGCTGCCTTGTCTTTTAACATCCAACCAACTAAAACCAAGTTGCTTAGAAATTAACATAAATATTGTTGGTGTTTTCATTTGTGAACTTATTTGGTGAAAACTGTCATTACCTGCTCTTTATACATAACACATCTGGAATTTTGGCATGGGTATTCAGTACCTTGTGAAATAATTACGATTGCCAAACAGAAACATTTCAGATTTATGCAAGAATAACTCCCCCTTCATCGGTGTTCTTCAGTGAGCATGAATTTCTGTTACGGACTGTTGATGTCAGTACTTTAATTCACCCTTCGCTAAGTCCTGCCCCTCAAATACAGACTGGCCAACCATAGCTTAGCATTAGCCAGCTCTGACTAGGATTCGTCAAAAACACAGCTGTGCTCCATTGACTCTAATGCAGTCATTTTAGATTTCTTTCATTGTCAGGCTGGTTTGTGTATTTGGAGCTAAATGTTGTGCCTGGGGCACGTCGTGTATTAATGATACTCTACGTTAGAAGGAGATATAAGTTTCTTGCCCCATTTCAAAACCAAACTCAAACCCTAAGAAGTGTAGGGTTAGCTAGCTACTGAAGATATAGCCTACTGAATGTATACACATGCTGCTTTTACCTTTAATGCTCATAACATTAAATAAAGACCCACAAAATACAAAATACAGTCACAAAGATTTGTGGTTGTCAGACAACAAATTATTTAGTTTGGCGAAACCCTGAATTATCCTCTAGCGCCACCATGAGGTGAACATGAGTGGTTTTTACTGAAATGTCTCGACAACTACAGAATGCCATGAAGGTTGGTTCAGACTTTTATCTTCCTCAGAGGATGAATCCTGCTGACTTGTCATCACTTGACTTCATCATGTCAAATTTGTAACATATCCAGTTTAGTTTATGATTAAATACCTGCAAAACTAATGACATTACCACAAGTCTCAGCTAACTTTTTAAAAAGTGCTAATTAGCAAATGCTGTCGTGCTAACACTTCAAACTAAGATGGTGCTTTCACTGCTGGAAAGACTTCTTTTAAAACGAGTATGTCTGTCCAATAGGAAGACTTTCAAAATTGGCACGACATGACCAGAGAAAACAGAGGGAAAAGGGCTGTGCATTGGCTTTTACTCAAGAGGTAAAAAACCTACAACTATCAGAATGCACTGCGCCACAACTGACCAATAAATGCGAGCTTGAACGTTCTGCCACAGGAAACAATATGGTGGCTGGCTGGTAACAAATTATTTTGAAATGTACTGAAACAGTCATCTAAAAGTTTGGTCTGTGTTTAAGGGGATGTGGTTGGGGTCTCTGTCTCAATCCTTTTCTATACTTTTTGTGTCTATGATGGAAGTTCATGCAAAAATACAACCCGTAGTTCATGCAACAGCTCAACAGTCAGCAATAGTCTTCGAGCTAGGAGATGAGCAGGGCGATCTGGGCGCTAGTAAGATGGAGAAGTTTACCACAGTTTATTTACACATACTACCCACATTGTTATGTTCCAAAGCTGGTTGAAAATCATCAAAGGATCCCTATAACATCTAAGTCTAAGTAAACCAACCCTTTAAATCATCTTTTCTTTGCATAACTCAGCACTGAAGGATAGTCTTACAGCAGGCGGCGTTTGACCTCCAGCTTTCAATGTTGTCATCGGTGTACAGGCTGCAGGCTCTGGCGTAGGCCTCCAGGAACTGACACTTGAGTCCGTCCCCAGCAGGATAATGGCACAAAGTGTTTGTGCAGGCAGTTACGTAGGGCCCTGTTGCGACGTTGTCATGACAAGCTGTGAAGGATTCCTGCGTCAGGAGGTTACAGCTGTTCCATGAGGTCAGAGAGGGAAAGTGGGAGATGGAAGAATGAGTATGTTTCCAAAATGTTCACCAGCATGAACTACAAGATGAAGGCCTTTTCTGAGGACGGTTGTGTGATGTTATGTTAAGGCCTTGCTCAGGAGAATATTTTCATAATGATTTTTATTAAAAGAAAGGCATTTATTTTATGGCCGTTAGAGGTTTTGTGTTGTATATGGTTTGGTGATACCACAAAATTCGTTTCAGATTTGATACCAAGAATCACAGATATGAATACTTTTGGAAAAAAATAAAATTGGCTAATGAACTATCGTGTTTTGAATTTAATTCATCATTAATATGCTTATGAATAGTTTTACCAGATATTTACCAGCATTTTTTTCCTTGCTTTTCTTAACATAATTATTATTTCTTAGTCGTGCATTTTTAAAACAAAAGCAGTTTTTAATGGTAAATAACAAATATTTATCTCTGCATGTAAGAACAGTGTAGCAGAGAGTGCAGCACCTAAGAGGTGACTTAGGCACTGATCACACCGAAAGCATTTTAGCAGTTGTTTTGCTTTTTGCTTACTGTTTTTGCGTTGCTATGCACCTTGCATCTGCGCTCCAGGCACCTGGCATTTTTGCCAGAGCGCTCTGAACTCTGAAAAAAAAGTCAACTCAGAGCGGAAAAGCCTATACTGGTCATGACAACAAGTTCACAGTTTGTAAACAACGGAGGAAAACTGGTGGTTCTCCCCATGATCCACCCTGTTTTTTAGGGTCTCATGTACCCACACAGATCTCTGTTTCCCTGTGCCCATCAAACTATTTAATGACAACCTCTCACCCTCAACCAGAGCTACAGCACGTGCCCTCTGCCTCAACATTTTAGGAAATAGATACTACTGACTAATAGCTTTATTTTTTTTTGTTACTAGTAGCATTCAATTAAAAAAAAACAGGTGGTGTGGTGGGCTTCATGTTTTAAAACCTGTTCTGAGCGTCAAGTGTTGAAAAATGCTTTGGTGCACACGGGGTTGTAGACTCTTAGACCAGTGATTGCTAGTTAGATATGCCCAAAATGAATAATATCTCATGTTTAACCACAACAGAGAGAATGAAGCCTGCGGCAAACTTCAAAAGGACTTGTTGAGATGAAGCTGGTATCGACAGGGTAACATGGGCATTGACCACCCTGCTGGTGAGGCATGCTGGCCGTCCGGATAGCGGGAACTCACATCTCTGCAAACATCTGAGTAAATTTTAAGTAGACACCATTTTCTTGATAAGTCGACCACAGATGTGGAGTTTAAACATGTTTTTTCTAAGTTTTTTTTAAAAAAAAATCTTAATACTACATTCCGTGATACAGCCACAGCATTTTGAAAATTATAGCCTAGAGTTTTGAGCTTTCTCCTCTGCCATAGAGTGCTGCAGGAATGAGTCCTAACACCCAGAAATGAGTTAGCATGAGTTAGCACCTCTGGTTCCCTCGTATTAAGGCCAGTAGATTTTTTGAATGGGTTTTTGATTAGATGCCTGAAATAAGATCTGTGGTGAACACTATGTTTTCTTCTACGATATAAGATACATCAGTAAAACCCCACTTGTAAATTTTGAAGCCTGTACGTGTCTTAGAAAAGACGGTTGCTATCAAGTGGCTATATGAGACTACAGAACAACATCATTTGGAAGATGGCTTTACAGCCTCATTGTGGTGGTGACGTTGAAGTAATGTAACCGTGGTATGGTTTGTTTATAGCCTTACGTTAGCTTTTTACTTCTGCCGATTGCAATTACGCCTCAAAAGTGATGTAAATTTGTAAAGATAGTCTTGTTGAATGCACAAGTTTCATAAATGTTAATTTGCCACTGAGCTTATTTTCTGCAATAATCCAAGTAACACTGGCTTTTTGTCGAGGGAACCAGGGCAATGTTAACTTCCGTGATGGCCTACAAAAAACCACCATCCCCGCAGCACTCTATTGCTGCTGGTTGGTGCGAGCCCTTTGCATTATGGGATACCAGAGGGGATTTAGACTAGCCTGATGAATGCTAAAAAAAATATGTCCAAATCACTGCAACCTCCGGGTATTTTTGTCATACAGCAGATGTGTGCTTTTGCTTGCATACTGCATACTACATGCTACATTTAGGCCAGATCAGTATGTACTGCTAGTATAGTTGGCGGTGTCAAGTACAGCCTTAGTACTGTTGTATCAGTACTTTAAGTATTGATCCATCCAAATTCAGTGTTTGAGATTTCCTCTGGCTTCTGAAATAATCTACTGACACAGCACCTCCATGCCTTTCAGATTTTATTGAACTTTATTGTATCAAATTATCACTTGTTCAGAAAAATGTATTCAACATTTTACAGCTGCTCCTTTTGTTATACTTGTTTATGGGGGGAAAAGGTGATTTTTGGCTAGTGGGTGTTGTGTGATCCTGCAATACTGAGAGTGGCCACTATGTAAAAATGTCCTCACTGCCCAACAGTTTTTCGTTATTTTATTTTTTAACTCAAAATGCCATAAACTCTGTAGCATTATCTGAGTTTATGTGTGCTGAGCTTTTACACACACTGTGTCCAGGTGTCTTCTACTTACTGTGTAGTCATTTCGTCGCAGTTGTCTGGTTTGGCAGTGGTGTCAGTGTGTGGTGTCTCACAGCTAGGGGGCAAAAAACAGCATAAACAAACACACAAAGCACCTAGGCAACCCCAAAGCAACCCAAGATTCATCTCCAGCAGTAGCTCAACAGCAGTTTGTGATAGAGGTCTTACCCATCCTCACTGTCATCATCAAGCTTCTCGTTACTTAACTCCCCATCGGAGTTGCCACATAAACCCTCCACAACTGGAGCTTGTCCAGTCGGTCCTGGCCAGTTTCAGGAGAGAGAATGTAATCAATGAATAATAAAGATACAAATGCAGGACAATGAATAAGGCCGGCAGCGTATTCATAGGCCCACTATTGTTCTAGGGCTGTTACCTGGGGCCGTCACTTCTTCAAAATTCTACCCATCACTTTGAACAAAAGAAAAAAGAATACTGTAATGTTCGATTGGAATTTAAAGCTCTCCGTGTCTGACTGCAGCAGGCTGCACATTGCTAAAATGCATTGTATACTGTCAGTCTGATGTGCTGTCGCCCTGGGCTATTGATGTTTCCTTCGCTAAAACAAAATGGAGAAAACTGGTGACATAACAGACCGTGCTGAATAGACAATCATGACACCAAACCATCTGAGAAGTAAGGTGTTAATTTAGTCCACCTACCAGTGTTGAAGTCATTACCACCTAAACCGAGTCAGTCGTGACCAAGACCAGAGTATATCGAGACTGAGACCAGACCAGTAAGAGTCCAAAATGTGGAGCATGCAAACTATACATTCCCTAAAAGCACCTTACAAATATGACTTTGGGAGGCATATTTTCCTTAAAAATCTCCAGAATGATTCCATTTGTCATAGTCAGAAATTGTTAAAACAGGAATTAGATTTTCATATTTCTGACAGTCTGTGAGCACATTATGTGGGACGAACGCTTCCTTCAGAAAAAAGTATAACCAAATCTAAGCTTAAAATAATTATATATAAAATCACTTTATTCTAGGCTGTGTCACATTTAAAATTTGGCCAAAAATAAACCGTTTGCAATGACTAACCAATATGCACAACAAAAGTGAAAAAGGCTTTTTTCAACTCCAGGATTTCGTCTTCAACTTTTAACTTGTAAACTTAAAGTTGAAAAATCTCAAAGCTAATTTATGGTGGAGGGAGGATCATGCATTTTCCACCAGTCAGTCAGGGAGGCTCAAGGAAAAATATTTGTAGCTCGGGGAGGTTAAAAAAACAAAACCTGGTCACACCCCAGCCACCTCCCTCCTCTGCTAAGTAAAGAACAGTCGCTGATGTGAAGCAGTGGAGGCATTGCAAAAAATATTGATTATACACTGTGTTTCAGGATAGGCTGTACTTTTGATTTGATAGTTCAGTTTCTTTGAATTTGATTTTTCCTGTATAAACTTTCACAGTAGCTGCATATTTCTGCAAACTCCTGTGCACCAGTTAAGATTCTGCAACATTTGAGTCAAATATTAATGACGGTTGTTGAGTTACCAGACTACTGTCAATCAAATCTAATCAAATACACCCATACAGTCTATATGAAGCACATGAACTTTTTTGGACTTTACGTTTCTTTGTTCCTTATTAAGTCACCAATCCTAAATGTTATAGAAACATGCTTGGAAGTTAAAACCGGGTTCTCAGGGGCCATTATTTCTGCGTCATCTGCCTAACACCTTAACTTTCTATTTCCCCAACCAGGAAAATAACCATCCACAAAAAAACATTGGGCCAGAGATTCAGTGGTGTAAACCAGAACCTGATTCCACTGTTTTGAGATGACCTGAGGACAGCACCTTTTGATAAACCACCATGTCAGTCCATAAAGAGATAACTTAACACACAGCTTACGGAGCTGCACAAAATTGATGAAAGCCTTTTTCCACACTAATTGTTAAAAGAAAAACTGTGGTGTTAAATCCAGGAACAGTTTACTCTCTCGTCTCTGAATACTCTGTAACAAACATCTCTCCAACGCTGTTCCTACATTTATCCATCTGTGATGTACCTTTAATGTATATCTGTGCAGTGTAGCCATCAAAGAAGACGATCATGGAGTAGGTAGTTTCGATTATCTTTGCCGTCACTCCAGCCTCGGTCTTGAAGAGAGTCACACCGTGAAAATCCTTCTCCGTGGAGGTGAGTGTCTCTTCTGTGTCGTCCACCTGCATCACAGCAGAGAGGAAAAGGGAGGGAAGATCATGGGATGATTGTGAGACAGTCGGCCTCTGGGCACAGACGTGCAGAACTCCCCACCATGTTTCCTACTCAGGTGCAAGACACACAGATCGTTCTTTAGCCTTTTTTTTTTTTTAACCCTTGTTGTGCATCTCTTTATAGTTGTTACTTGTCTCTCTGTGGTTTTGTGTGTCTTTGTTGTCATTTTGTGTCCCTTTGTGATTGTAAGTCTTGTTGCAACTGTTTTGCATGTCTCTGTCGTTTGTCTCTTTGTGGTCATTGTGAGCCTGTTTAAACCTGGTATTAACATGCGTTTTGTGTGATCTTATCATGAACTGGACAGTCAATACACATCGCTGTTCACACCTGTGTCCATCTTACGTCTCCAGCTGACCACTTGTGTTTAGACTACATTACTGCCCTATGCAGTTATCACGATGACACTTTTGCTACCTGCTCTGTAGCAGGCTTGCCTTAAACATTACTGGTTGTGTCAGTACAGCTGGAGAAATCTCTGTCAACAGAGTTCAACATCTCTCCTTCCATAGGGCAAAACAAGGGATGGTCATGCAACACTTTGTCCAACTCAGCATAAATTGGGTACGCTTTGGAGCATTTGCGTGCTGTCACCAAAATACCCACCACGTCCTGCACCGATGACGTAGTCCTTGTTGGGAGGCAAGGTTTGAGTGATCGGATCACAATGCTTCTTGGCGGTCATTTACACTTGCATTTAGTGCTGTCCACTTGCGATCAGATCACCCAAAACGCATGTTAATACCAGGTCTAAACAGAGCAGTTTAGTCTCTTTGAGTGACATTTTGCAATGAAGGCCAGTGCACTTCAGAGCACTTCTCTGGTCATGTAGCACCAATTTCAAAAGCATTTGCATCTCTCTACTGCATAGACAGCCCAGTTCAATGAAAAGACCATCTTTCCAGCAGTGAAATATGTGGGTCTGTGGTTAGCACTGTTGCTTCAAAGTGATGGCCTGCTCACACCTGTTCTAAAAATAGTAAAATCTTGGAGGAAAATCAGTTTTTCAGTGGAATAGCCATGATTAGTGGATTTGATCGAACAAATCAACAATCACACAATAGACAAGATCCTATACTGACATGATAAAACTGTCAATCTGTGGCACTGTGTATCTTACCTTAACTCTCCCGCCTTGTTCCAGGCTGATTGTACCACTTGATTCCCCCTCCAGAGACAGGATCACACTGTCCAAGAAGTGGTGATCTTGACGCCGTCGTTCCTTGAATGTTGCCTTAACCTTGACATCTGGGATTGATGAGGTCTTTATCAGAGTGTACACACAGCGATCTTGGACAGAGTGAGCCTGGCCTTGGACAGTGATGACGGTGGGGCCGGTCACAGTGCACAGGGCGCACCTGGTGGAGATGAGGAGGGACAAATACAAGAACAAAATAATATCATCCGCATGAGAAAAGATTTACTGGCGGTTTTATATTGATAACACACAATAAGCAAAAGCCCTGCAGAAGCAAGAATAAAAGTCTACATGCTAGTGTCTCCATGAGGCTGTACTAACATTAGTATGCTTACATGGTGACGATGATAATGCCAACAAGCTAATATCAGACACATATTGTTTACCTTTTTCTGTTGTTTTCCATGTTTTGTTTTTCCTGTGTTTCCTTTTTTATTTTAGTCATTTACATTTTGTCTTGTTCCAGATCCACTTCCTGTCAAGTTTCCCGCCTGTGTAATTGCCTGTTCTACGCTAGCATATTGCACCAGTACCACATTGTCTTTCCTCTTCTAGTGTATTTATGGTGCTTTCCAAAGTCAAGGAAGGATCCTTAAACGGCTGAATTTCAAGGAGGCGACATTATTGAATCCCGCAAAAGGACAATTTCAGTGTCAGGGATCCTTCAAATTCCACTAGGACCAAGTCCTTACCTCAGAAAATTCTCCTTCCCCTCAGTGGGCATTCCTCTTTATTACCTTTTGTCTGCTGATTTAGATACCTTTGGCCGTTGGACTGATTGCCTGTGGACAGACCTGTGCTCGATTTAAACCCCTCAACATTTATCCTGTCTGGAGTCTGCTTTGTGGGTCTATCGTTAGTTTGTACCTGATAGCAAGATCTGGCCATACTATGGACTCCCCAGACCCGGAAAAACCTTTCATTGCTATTCAAGCCCAAAGACAGAGAATACATGACCAAGAGGAGCAAACCTCTAATCACACACTAGGAATATTTTGTTTTATTTATTTATTTTATTAAGACTGAAATGCTGGAACTCTCACACTAAGGCAAATAAGACCTGGCCCAGAAGGAAGGGAGGCACATGGTGCTTCTCAAAGTTAAGGAAGGGTCCTAAAAAAGCTGACTTTCAAGGAGGCTGCTGTCGTTGTTATCAAATCTTTCAGGACTTTTCCAATGTCAAGGATCCTCTGAATTCTACCGAAGATGGAGTCCTTCCTTTAGAGAATTCTGAAGGATGCACGTGTGTATCCTCAGTCAGCGGGCATGAAGTACCTACAGTTCTTTGTGCATGATTTGCCAGAATTGAAGCGGGGCCTTTTTATGTACGCGTGGGTTCTTGCTTGCCTGTTCCAATGTGTGCTCACCAAATGATAGGAAGGAGTCTTGCCTAGCCTCTGTAGGACCCAAATTGGAAGGACCTGTCCAACCAAGGAAGCATCCTTGGCTTTGAGAAGCACCATGTGTCTTCCCTTTCCTCCATGCCAGCTCTTTTTTGCCTTAGTGTGAAAGTTCCAGCATTTTTGTCTTAGTATTCCTAGTGTCTGTTCAGACCTTTGGTCCTCTTTATTACCTTTTGCCTGCTAATTTAGATACCTTTGGCTGTTGGACTGTTGCCTGTGGACAGACCTGTGCTTGATTATTCTGTCTGGAGTCTGCTTTGTGGTTCCATCATTAGTTTGTGCTTGATAACAAGATCTGGCCATACTATGGACTCCACAGACCTAGCCTGTTCCAATGTGAGTTCACCGAATGCTAGGAGGGAGTCTTGCCCAGCCTCTGTAGGACCTGTCTTGGAAGGACCCATCCCACCAAGGAAGCATCCTTGAATTTGAGAAGCACCAACAGACTTAATACACTAGGAGCAAGAAGACACAGACAGGAAACTTGATGCAAAGTGGATTTGGATCAAGACAAGAGGCAACTGACCGAAATGAAACAGGAGACACTGTGGAAATATGGAAAACGACAGAACATGACCTTATGTGGCAGGACGGGATGTGACATGAATGTCTGAACCAAAGGTCATTGCAATTCATCGAATAGTTGTTGAGATATTTCAGTTTGGATCAAAGTGGTGGACTGACAGTCAGAACAGCATTGTCATCTCTAGAGCTGTGCTAGAGATGACTTTAGGGATGGTACATTGTCTGTAGCATCAGTCGTAAAGTCGAAAACTGACCTTTAGGATTTACTAACTAACTAATTACAATTGGGTTTATGTTTGCACATGGTTTTAGTTATGGAACCAGACTCCCAGACTGGTCTGCAATCTTTTTTCTGGGGTTGCCCAGCGTTAGAGATCCCAGGCAGCTGTGGAGATTCTCAAGAGTCCCCTGGATGAGATTAGTTGTCTCTATGCAACTGGCAAATCGAAGAGGAAGGCTATGACTGTGCCTATGTACTGAATAGCAGTTTAGAGTATCAAACTTTTTTCAGGGCTGGGTTCCTGAAGAGGGCAATGTGCAGAAACACTGTAGTTCTGCTGGGAGACTTGAGATGTATCTCTAATACTTGGTCAAATGTCGCCTGTGTTCACTCAAACAGACTTTCTTTATAGGAGGTAGGAAAGGTTTTTTTGGGCCCTCTTTAGGAGATTTAATTTATGTGAGTTACATAAACCTTTTTCATAGCACTTTCTTTTAAAAATAAATCAAAGATATTTACTCAGATTCTCCCAGGCAAACCTGCGTGGAGCCAAATGTAATAAAATGGAGGACCACAGTCACATAGAGCAGTAGACGAAGCATGTTGGATGAGGCAGGAAGAGACGCAGCTGGAAGAGACAGAATCACAGCAGTTGTTACAAACAGCATTTTTTTTGTGATGCTTAAATGGCATGCATGAACAATTACAGCAAGCAAAACCTGTTTTCATGTACATAGGAGCGTCTGAATGTTGTTTTAAGACAGACTGTTAGAGGCAGTACACATACTGCGTCATTAACTGCCTGGAAAACACTAGGTCGGATGCTACTCTTGCGCCTTTTCTGTATCACCGACTGATATTTACAGAAGAAGGGAAAGATATCTGTGGGCTGTGATTGGTTGTTTCTCCTCACATGATTTGCGACACACGCTGCTGCATTCCAAAAGTTTAACTCTGTTGTTCTTAGGTTGCAGCTGTGGTGCCTTGAAAAATAGGCCCTTGGGTATGCGTGCCTGCCACAACATCGTCACTCTGGTGTTTGAGTGCACCTGCCATGCGTCCATATTAAAAACAATAAATTTGAGGGTGCAAAAAATCGCGGCATGTCTACGGCCCCTAATTGTTAGCTCTTCCTTTAAGATGATAAAATCCTGCTTACATGTAATTCTTCAGTAATAATAATCCAGAAGTATACTGTATATGATAACATGGCACTAAGTACTTGTACTCTTTGCTATTACAACTTGTTTACTTTACATAGCATAAAAAATTTGACTGATGCTTTCTGCATGGAATCTCAACGATCAATCAATCAACCAATCAATCAATCAATTTTATTTCTAAAGCCCAATATCACAAATCACAATTTGCCTCACAGGGCTTTACAGCATACGGCATCCCTCTGTCCTTAGGACCCTCACAGCAGATAAGGAAAAACTCCCCAAAAATGCCCCTTTAATGGGAAAAAAACGGTAGAAACCTCAGGAAGAGCAGCTGAGGAGGGATCCCTCTTCCAGGACGGACAGACGTGCAATAGATGTCGTACAGAACAGATCAACATGATAAATTAACAGCAATCCGTATGACGAGGAAACCTTTGGATCTTTTTTACTCCATGCAGGTTTCTCCTTGCAGCAAACCAATGTCCCCCCACACTGTAGGGGGCAGTGTATCGCAAACTCATGTCTACGGCATGGCTTTTCCATTCCCTCCACCACTCCGCATTTGTGTAGTTAGAAATTGTTGAACGAGCATGTACATGAGAAAACCCTTTGCCTCAAAAGGGGCGTGTCTCATGATGTGACATCGCTGTGGCTGTGAGACCCTCATGGATGTGGTAAGTAGAAGTCCAGAATAAAAGATCCAAATGTTTCCTTGTCATGATTCTGCATCGGCTCACATCCATATGTCCATGTGGAAAGCATAACTGAGGCTTAAGCCTTCCACCCAGGGCCGTAATCACCTATTAAATATATAAACATTCTAAAGTGATATAGCCTACATATAACTTATGTTACATTATAGTTTTTAATTTTTAAGACATTTGAAAATAATGAAATAGGGAGGTAGTTATAGCGCCGAATTGATGTCTGAGTAAAAGGGACAGCCGGCAGTTCCGTGGACCAAACTCCTCCTCATCTTGCTCCTTGCAGGCATTACAGGCTGATGTGTTTTCGACAAAGTGAACCTGGAGCACTTTGTGTTCACAGTGCACAGGTTAAGTGAATGGCACCGCGGACTTGAAGCTTCAGGGGGGTCTGCGTTCCCTTGGAGTGTATGCGCAAAAAAACGCTGAGTCACCGCTCTGAGTACACTTAGAGGGCTGAAAAGGACTGTATGTGAAAACACCCTAAGATTATGATTAGCCTACATTTACTAATGATTATTTTGGGTTGCCTGTTACAGTAAGCCTGGAGGAGATCACGCATTTTGTTGTGTTTGCGTGCGTGAGTCTGTGTATCCTTCTGTCCATAGCTAATCTCACAAACTACTGGACCAATCAGCCTCATATGTCATGTGCACATGTATGACTGTATGATCGAGAAACCTCTGCAGCGATTCACAGTTGTTAAAAAAACTGTTTCATTGACTGTTTCATAGCATCATTGACTCCTGTCCCCTCACTCCCGTTAACTGACCAGCGGGGAGCCGCAAGTTTCTGGTAACCGGCTAAGCTTTGCCGTCTATTGCAGGCCACATTTTTTAGACATGATAGCATATGAATTAGTAGAGGGGAAGGGGAGGGCATAGAATCAGGGGCATTTCTACGCTGACGTGTCTCGAATATAAAAGAAAATATGTGGCAAGAAGTGCCACTGTAATTACAGCCCTGAACACAACAAAAGCAAAACAATAGCGGGACCCTATAGGACTTTTTCACAGCAGACATTTTGACATGTCACAGTGGGTAAAGCACACGTGCATCAGTTGTAGGCCTCAGTGTCATGATGTACTGGGACTCTTAAAAAGAACAAAAATAGAACAGAGCAGTTATTAGTTATCACTGCTCACTGGTCTGTATAGTTAAGCCTTGCCATAATAGCTTATCATAGGGCTTAGGAGGTTATTCACTGAATGCTGATGCTTTCTCTAGAGCACAAACTTCTTGTGTTTATTTGAATGAATACATCATTAACACTTGTGCTTTTCCGACTACAATAACTATCATATTATTGAAAACTAGGGGCCATGTCTTCCCCCCAGTATGTATTATAATTACTGCCTAACTTCCACCAGCGGTAGGAAAACATGACGTGCAGCTAACACATTGGGGTTTTTTCACACCTACGTGAAGCTGTCATTACTTATCATTTGTACTCCAGTGAATTTGGTATCACACTTTCATAAAGTTGGAAAACTTGTTATAAGGAAAAGATTTAAAAAGAACAGTCAATAGTCTAGATCAGTGGTATCAAACTCAATTTAGTTTACGGGCCTCATACAGTCCGATTTGACTGCAGGTGGGCTGGACCAGAATTAAATCATTTTCAGTAACTGCTTATCCTGTTGGGGGTCACAGAGGGGCTGGATCCTATCCCAACTGACGCTGGGCGGGAGGCAGGGTTCACCCTGGACAGGTCGCCAAACTATCACAGGGCTGACACATAAAGACAGACAACCATTCACACTCACATTCACACCTACGGACAATTTAGAGTCACCAATTAACCTGCATGTCTTTGGACTGTGGGAGGAAGCTGAAGTGCCTGGAGAGAACCCACGCTGACACGGGGAGAACATGCAAACTCTGCACAGAAGGACTCCCACACCCTGGGTTCAAACCAGGAACCCTCTTGCTGTGCGGCGACAATGCTAACCACTGTACCACCATGCCGCCTGATGTATAAATATATAAATAAATATAAATGTATATATTATATTTATATTTATTTATATATTTATTTATCAGGCGGCATGGTATAAAGGCTTCTGTTCCGTAGTTGTTTCCTTTATGTGCTGACAGAGAATTGAATGTGCTCATTGTGTGCACAAATGCAGGCACCTAAAGGCTTCAACATGCAGTTACTGTGGAATACAAGGTGCTCCTCTACAGGCTGCCTGTATATAATAATAATAATAATTGCTCTGTTATATTTTTGTTCTTTTTAAGTGTCTCAGTAAGTCACGGCAGTGAGGCCTGAAACTGAAGCACCTGTGCTTTTCCCTCTGTGACATGTCAAAATACCTGCTGTGACAAAGTTCTTTTGGTCCCGCCATTGTTTTGTGTTCTCAGTTGTAATCACGATGTCACTTCTTCATATTTTCTTTTATCTTGGAAACACGTCAGCGTAAAAACACTCCTGATTCTGCCTGAGGAGATGCACCAGTCTGTGTTTGTGCACATAATTGTGCTGATGAAATGTTCTCACTTCTTTGCATTTAACAGCTCCCTCATTGTTTTCCTTTTATGATCTTTCTATTATTATTACATGAACTATATTATACTACTATACTCTACTATACTGTGCTATAGTATATTATATTATGTTGAGAAGTTAGACTGTCTTACTACATTATATAACATAATAGAAATTTAAAGGCAACACATTCCAGGTTAAAGTGAAAGATCTAAGACTTTGGACTGGTTGAATGTACTACCAAATTAACGGAAATTACATTGACGACGGCTTATGATAGTGAAACCAATATTAAGGTCCAGGGCAGCAGCTCTGCAGGACATCCCTGCAGTCAGCATGCCAATGACACACTCTCTTAAAACTTGTGACATCTGTGGCATCGTGTTGCATGATCAAACTGCACATTTTAAAGCAGCCTTTTATTGTGACCACCCCACAGCACATGTGTGTAGTAATGTGTAGTAATGTAGTAATGATGCTGTTTTGATGTGTATGATGCATCTTGATATGCCACACCTGTCAGGCTGATGGGTTATCTCAGTGCTGACTAATACAGATTTTTTATAAATTGATATTGACAGTAGTAGTAATAGTAGTGGCGGTGGTAGTAGCAGTATTTTACTTCCCTATCTACACTTACGTCTGTCTTTGTGCTCCTACAGCATCGTAATTTCCTGTCTGTGGATCAACAAAGGTTTATCTTTCTTACCATCTTATCTAGTATTATCTTATCTAATCTTATCTACACTTCCCATAATGCCACTTTTAATTTGTTAAAGTGTCTCTGCCTGTTTAAACAACCCCACTGCCGTTTTTTGGGCACAGGCTTTCTGTTTTTAATTTGCGGCCTGTAAGCCCAAACTGAGACAACCCTGATGACATCACTACGACATCATCAGGTCAGGGTTATTTTGCCAGACTTGACAAAGTTGCTCCAGAGCCACAGAGGACACTGTGTTCGCACATGCCACGGGGAACGTCAAGGCTTCCTGCAGTGTTTTATAGCGGGTAGGATGCCTTATATAAAGACAACCTCCACTCACGTCATAATCAAAACCCTTTTTAAAAAGAAAGAAAAACAACTGACTCTTGCACATTGTCAGTCACTCATACTTGACTTTATGTAGACAAACAGAGCTGGTGACACGCAGTCATAGCTGGAGGTACCAAGGGGGAAGCAGGGTACACGCTTCCCTGAATGTTCAATTTGTCCATCCCAATAAAAACAAATTTTATTCTTCAGACCACAGCATAAAATTATGCAAAACAATGCACAAATTGGTGCATAAAAATTCACCAGAGTGCAGGAAATTAGGTTTTTAATGCTCAAAATTTTCTTGTGAGGACCCCCAAACCCCCTACTTCATATGCGTCCCTCCCCATTGTTACAATGAAACCTACGGCCTTGCATACAGCACATACCATATAATAACCTGATGACCATTTAGGCCCATTTAACTGAAGTCAATTTAACTGGACTGATCATAGAACAAGTTACCACCTCTTCACTACTCCTCCTGAACTTAATGTGTGGATGTAGTTTCTATTAAAGAATAACCAAGACTATCTGAAAAACAGCAATACTCAACCTGCTTTTCCCGGGGGCCACGTTTGTGAAATATGAGAAGGCCAGGGGCCGGTTGCAGCAGCTGCGTGTGTGTGCAGGAGTGTTTTTGGCACCTTATGTATATCAAAAGTAAGAAAATAGAATTGCAGTGTGAGTATTTTCACTGAGATTCAGGAAACTTGCCGCCCCTGCGATTTGGATAATATTTTGATTAACTGTGCAGTCCTGTTGGGGAGCCACCCAGCACCCTGTCTGGGGTCAGATTCACCCTGCGAGATGTACAGTAAGTTGAGTATCACTGATGTAGTATTTAGGTTTGGCTCACAAGACTTGTTTCAGATATAGTTTCAGATAAAAGAGCCTGATATGGAACAGCAGTTGTGTAAAATCTGTGAGTTTTTTGGGAAAACTGACAGTGACTACAGGCAGCTTCATAACCAGTGAATAAAAATCTGTGAAAATTGCAAAAGTAAAATAAAGTTTCTGTCCTCAGGTTTTATTTAAATCGAACCATATCACTAATCTGATTTCACAGGGGTCAAGGGTCGATACCTAGATTGTGAATTATTTACAAATCAACATAATCAATAAAGAGGCAACTATTCAGTGAGCTCTTCAGAGCATCTTTCTCCTTTTTAGTAGAATCAAACACAACCACACTTTGATGCTGACATCATCACCAGGACTATCGATTTGTCTTATGATGTTTTAGGCCTATACTTATTTCGCTAAGTTTGGTTTGTGTCTGCAGTGTTGAAGATGCACACGACTTCAACCCTCCGTTACTGTATCTTCTTCTTTATACAAATTCAAGCCTTTGTTTATTCCAGTGTGGCTAACAGTTTTCCTTCAGCTGTCCTGAGGATGTGCAGAAAAGAGATAGAAAGCATTGGTTGTCTTACCCTCAGAGAGATGAAATTTGATGCTGACGTCTCCGTGGATTTGTCCTATTTGTCTCCTTCACCTGTGGGACTCTGCTCTCTCTCACACTGTGTCCCACTCTTTTTTTTTGTGTGTCTCTAGTGTGATGACTGTGTGACAGGCTGATGAAAGTTACAGGTTGCTCTTCTGTGATGCCTCCCCCAACTGGTTTTGTTGTACTCAATTATAGGACAATGTGTGCAGTGGATTTTCGCAAAACAGCAAAACGTTAAAGAAATAGAGCAAAAATTTGGAAACTCAGTGTTGCACAACACTGCTGGTTTTGTATGAATTAAAAGAACAACATATATTTAATTAGTGATCTTTGATGAGGTGCATTTTTAACAGAGCCAGGCTAACTGTGTCCCCCTGCCTCCAGTCTTTATGCTAAGCTAACCACATCCTGGCTCAAGCGCTGTACTTTAATCACACACATTAGATTAATATGGATCTATTAATTTGAGAGAGAAAGCGAATAAGCTTACTTTACAAAATGATGTTGAACTTTTCCTTTAAACAGTTTGACCAGCCTTTGTGAAGCTTGTAATGTTGTGGACACTGTGATAGAGGACAGTGTCTGTCGTCATTTTGGGGACATAGTTGGTGTTGGTTGTACAGTACAGGACTGCATTATTCTGAGAGGTGTTTCTAATATTTATCCAGCTGAATAACTTTAACTCCGAAAACCCTCAAGTGTATTATTGCCTGTGAAGAACACAGTCTATACATCTTTTAGATTATAGGCACAGATGCAAACAGGTTGTGTGAGACTGTCGTTGAGCTGCTTCAGAAACATGCTAATACATACATACTGAATGTACGCACATGTACAGATTGAACTGTAAAGGTCATGATGGTGTATGCAAATCTGTATAAATTGGTGCTGAATGTAACTGAACAAGAATAACTTGACTTTTTGCTTTTACCTGCAGGGAAGAACGTAAGCCTGCAGGAGAGCTGGGGGGATTAGACAGCAGGAGGAGGAGGAGGAGGAGGAGGAGGAGGAGGAGGGCTTTATGATGCATCTAAAGAAGTGGTGAATGTATTTAACATTTACTCAACTACTGTACTTCAGTACAAATTTCAGGTACTTGTGCATCATTTGAGTCTTTTCTTTTAATGCCACTTTCTACAAAAATTGTAAATTTCACTTCACTACTTTTAAATTTGTTTTGCCTTTTATATGATAGGTCAGTATTTAACCGTGAAAGGGGGAAAGAGAGGGGAGATGACATGCAGCAAGGGGCAGGCTGGAACTGAGATTAAGATTTGTGCATACGATACACATGAGGAGCTTATAAAATATGTGTTCACACAAATACAGCTGAAACAGTTAATCAGTTGACAGAAAATTATTTGCTACTAATCTGATTGTTGTAAAGGAGCAGTGTGTAAGATTCAGGAGGATCTGGTGACGCCTAGCAGTGAGGATTGCAGATTTCAACTAGCTGAAACTTCTCCCAGTTAGGATTCATTCAGTGTTCAGGAGGTTTTAAACAGGAGCTGAATTGGCCCTTTGCTAAGTCCCGCCCCCAATTTTAGAAAGTCTATTACCTCCTCAAAGCTCTGACGCTCTGCTCGATGTAGTGTATTTATTGATTGTTTGGCAACACCTTGCTCAACGTCCTCCTGGATTAATTCTTCATATCTTTTCACAATTAATATTTTTTTTCACAATCTATAATTATGTCATCCTTACTGACCCTTCACTAAATCCCACCTCTGGACGCAGACTGGCCAATCATAACGTAGCATTGGGCCGGCTCAGACCAGGGTCCGACAACAACACAGCTGTGCTCCATTGACTCGAATGCAGTCGTTTCAGATTTCCTTCATTTTCAGTCTGGTTTTGTGGATTTGGAGCTAAATGTTGTGCTCCTCGTGTATTAATGACACTCGTTACCTGGAGAGATTGGACAAAGACATATGTTTCTTCCCTGTTCCATAACCAAAATCAAACCCTGAAAATTGTAGGGTTAGCTAGCTAGCTACTGAAGATATAGCCTACTGAATGTATACACATGCTGCTTTTGCTTTTTAATGATTATAACAGTGAAACAAAGACCGACCCTGCTGTACAGGAACCAGTGAAGAGAAGCAGGGAAACTTTGCTGATATTGAACCAGCTCTGTGTCATCACAGTGTGTGCAGATGAACGTTGTTTGACTTCCCCTGGAGATCCCTGCCTGTTTGGCGTTGGAGGTCTGGGCGCTGGCAGCGGCACGGGGGCAAAGTCAAACACCGTTCATCTGCACACACTGCGATGCCACACAGCTGGTTCGATATCAGCAAAGTTTCCCTTTATATTCATTGTCTTGTGTGGCGATCAGCAGTGATGTGGTGGTTCACTTTTACACTGTGATCTGGAGCCTATAGTTCGGCTTTAGCTTCTAACTATCTTTGTCTTTTTAACCTGTTGTTGCTGCTGAGTCAGTTTGACATCCTGGATATATCCTTCAAACACAGACTGTAGACCCCTCTGTCTGCTTCTCTCTGGAATCACTGTTTCATTTTTACAAAAATATGATAATATTTATTCAGGGAGCACAGTTAGTTACAGTGTGGGCTCCATGCTTACTCTGACAGCTTGTCAGACCATCACAAAGGGGCTTAGTGAATGGCCAATAATCCACAGAACTCTCTTCCTCTCCAAAGCAAACAGAGCAGGTATTTTAAACTGGTGAAAATGAAATAAAGCAGTTTCATGTTTGAAAAATATCTGTCAGAGAGGGGCTGCCAACTGCGGTGGCCAACATAAAAATGTGAATGTGTTTATCTTGTCTGCTCTGGGCTACTGTAGAAACATGATTCTTATTTTACATCATTACCTTTTAAGTCAGGGGTGGCCAACCAGTCAGAGACCAAGAGCCACAAAAATTACTGTGGTTGTACAAAGAGCCACATCATACAGGTGTGCTTACAAACGCACTCCCTTTCTCACAGAAACATGAAATGGCATAAAATCAAAATCCATACATTTCCAATTTTCAAAGCCAGATTTATTTATCTCACACACAAATGCATAACCATGAATAGAGATACACACACCCACAGTCTCTCCCTCTCCCACTCTCTCCACACACAGTCTCTCCCTCTCTCATACTCTCTCCACACACGCACACGCGCTGCAGTCCTGCATTCCTCCCGAACTCCACACCCTCTCACATGCCTGTGCGCACTCCTCTCTCTCTCACTCGCTCCACTTAAGCCTGTTACATTTCTTAAAGGGCCATACGCACTCATAACAATAAATTGATTTTTTTATGATGGAAGAGCCGCATTCCGATGGTTTTAATTAATGGATCGAAGAGCCGCACACTGATAGGCAAAGTGCCGCATGCGGCCCGCGAGCCGCGGGTTGGCCACCCCTGTTTTAAGTCATTTTTCATTAAAAAAAGATCCATGGTTCCAACTTCACAAGTTTGAGGATTTGATTCTTTACCTTTAAATTGTTATGATAGTTTAATTTATGTTTAATGATGAGGTTTGGACTGACGGTTGAATAAAATAAATATTATAAATGTGTCACTTGGCCTCTGGGTAATTATAATGGCATCTCTCACTATTTTAAGAATTTTAATTAATAAGAAACAAATCAGTAGTATATCTATAATGAGAGCAATCTTTAGTTAACCACCGCAATCAACCACAACAGCAAAATCCTTCTACATTAATATAATAATAATAATAATATTAATAATAATCTAATGGTAGAATATATGATAGTGTGACAGTCACAGGGACATTTATCTGTATTGAGTATTTTAAATATTTTACATTTTCCTGATTATACTTACATGCTTTAAGACTGTAGGACTTTTACTTGAAACAGCGTATTTTTACAGTGTGGTGTTAGTGCCTTTACATGCAGGATCTGAATGTTTCCTCCATAGCTGGTCCTTGTATAAAGCAGTCGGCTGTTTGGGTGCTTTGTGTGTTTGTTTTTGCTGTTTGTTGCCCTCTAGCTGTGTAACAGAGAATGAGTACAACGATGACAACATGATTAACATGAACAGCACGTCTGAACGGTGAGCAGAGACAGCTCGTCACAGATGAAACACTCTTGCCACACATAAAAGTTGCTGTTTTCCCGAACATAAAAACTGTGTCACAAATAAAATGACTCCTTGTATGTTCATGATTTGATGCAGTAAAGTCCAATAAGATCTAAAAAGTCTGGAGAAGCTGTACCAGGAAATGAAAATTTAAATTTAGCAGCCAGAGGAAGTCCTGAACGCTGAAGTTGGGCGGCTGAGTACCTAAAGCATCAATACTGCAATACGAAGTCTTGTTTTGAGTATCAGTGCTGGCGTCAGTAGTCTTGTGCTCGGCATTCTTCTTGTGCTGCACTTGGTTATTACCAGAATAGTAAAAAGGCATGCTCAGTGTTTGGAAAAACAGTCAGTGGTAATGAAAATGTATCTGTCAATGTTACGTTGCTTTAATATGTGCTGATGTGTGATGTTTTGTTAGCCATCATGTACGTTTTGTCATTTTCTCCCAGCACTCTGTCTCTCCCTTCATGTATACCCACTAGCTGAAATTATATTTTAACAGAGTTTGAATCTGATATGTTTGAAAAAGGCAAAAAAAATGTTATTATTGGTGCTTGAAAAGTCATGGAAAAGTTTTGAAATTTTGTCCATGAAAATGTGAGGGACCCCTGTTTAAAGCATATCAATTATGCATAACATTTGGTCTACTAGTGTGAGTGACGATACCTCTAGGTCATAGCCTGCTCCTCCTCTTCAAGAATCCCCCTCCCCCTGTCGAAAGAGCTCAGTTTAACAGATGTTGATCTAAGACTTTGTTTCCATAGCACTTTCTGAAATTTTGTTTTTATCGATACACCAACTTTTCCACCTCAGTCAAGCATAAAGATGCTTTTAATGAATTCTTGGTGTTCCCTAGCAAATTGAAACTGTTTTTTTCCACTCTGCAACTCTTTTGTTAGAACATGAATATGCAGCCATGCAGCTCTCTGAATCTGGCTTGCATGAATTTGTTGTATCTTGTAATAAAAACTAATTTCATTGGTTTAGTATTTATATTTGTTTTTTTAATTTG